ATGATGTGAGTTATTAAGGATGTCACCTTCATTGGTGAGTTTTGAGGTGACTAAAGAGGCCGACACGGGACCGGCAGAGTTGTTCAAAGATGTTACACATGTGGAGGGCTACATCGAGTGCGGGAGGGACGGTGGCAGCGTCTTTCCGACGTTGGCACTTTTCTGCCACGGTTTGCAGTCGGGCTAACATGAAAGTATTGGCACTTTCTCTTGTGTGCTCCTCCAAGCGTTACGATGTGGAGTAATCGACTCTCAGGTGAGTGGGTCAATCTGAAACTTTTTCAGGTTTGTCTGAAGACTATCCTTATACCTTTTCAGTTGCCCGCCGGCGTTACGTTTACTATTCGTTAGGTGACTGTAAAGTAGTTATTTTGGCAGTCTACTCTCGCCCATGCGGGTAACATGGCCAGTCCAGGGTAGTTGCTTATGGATAATGGTAGCCTCGATGCTCCTACAGTTGGTGTCAGCAAGGATGCTGGCATTTGTTCTCCTGTCTTCCCAGTTAACTCGGAGGAAGAAACGTAGACTACGTTGGTGAAAGTTTTCAAATGCCTTAAGGTGCCTCCTGTATGTAACCCATGTCTCGCTGCCATGTAGCAGAGTGGGGAGGACCACTACTCTATATACGTGTAACTTTGTAGATAAGTTCAGCTCCCTACAGCTGAAGACACGGTTTCGGAGTCTGCCAAAGGCTTGAGATGCACATCTGATCAGATACTGAATCTCTTCATCAATGTCCGCAGTGGTGGACAGGTGGTAGCTGAGATACCGAAAGTGGGTATCATTAGAGAGGGTAGTACCGTTAAGCTAGGTACATGGTGGAGGTGTGTCTGAGCCAGGGACAGGCTGAAAGAGAATCTGAGTCTTACGTACATTCACCTCAAGGCCGAAGTATGCCTACGCATCTGTGTAGGTGGTCAGGAACTCCTCTAGGTCGCGTTCAGTGTGAGCAACAAGAGTGAGGTCATCTGCATATTGAAGTTCAGTAATGGAAGCTGCCGACACCTTTGTTCTTGCCTGGAGTCGTCTTATGTTGAAAAGACCCTTCAACCGGTATTCGATGTCCACCTCGCCGGCTAAATTGGCACTGACACGAGTAAGGAAGGCAGCCAAGAAAATGGAAAAGAGAGTTGGTGCCGGTACACATCCTTGCTTAACTCCTGTTTGGATGGAGAAGAATTCAGATTGGGTGCCATTGTGCAGGACACTCCCGTTCAGGCCATCGTGGAGTTGCCTCACATTGGCGATGAATTTTTTGGGGCAGCCAAAATGGCTGAGGGTCCACCAGAGGGCTTCCCTGTTGACCGAGTCGAACACACACACACACACACACACACACACACACATTTGATGTGGTGGCGATCATGAAAAAAGGAAAGATACTACAAAAAGATATAGATGGGGATCACTAGAGAGAGAGAAGTTGATAAAAAGAAACAGAGAGAGAGAGAGAGAGAGAGAGAGAGAGAGAACGTTAACCCTCATCAACAATACCCTACTAGACGCCATATTACCACCCAAGACAGACACAGACAAGCCAAGGAAACAAGGTATTTACCACAGAAAAGAGAGAGAAGGACACACGCACACACACAAACAAACACCTTCAACACAACCTTCACAAAACCGAGCAAAAATGAAATCCTTACCGGTATATTATCACACCTTTTACATTTCCCGAGACCAAGTGACCATGGAGGCGTGGACTTACTGACGGCTCCTTAGTCCTCATAACCCTTACAAATGTTACGTTGGGACGTGGTGGCCTAGCACACACACTTACTTACGCACTCAAAATTGTGTCACGAACGGCGCCTTATAAACCTGTTCTCATTATTATCACTCGCGGTTTATCTTAGGTTGAGGTTGTTGTGTTCTGGGACGCGGTCTAGGGTCACGTTAACGAATGGTTGAATGATACGTGGGGTGAGTAGTTCCTGGTATATATCTATCTATCTATCTATCTAACTTATTTTTCTGTTTTCCTCTTTTCCTCATTATGTCTCTACCTTCCTTCAGCCAACCATCTCCTTGTCTCTCTCCTCACCACCACTTCCTCCTCACTCTCTGACCTCCCACTCACCTCCAAGCAACAAACTCGAAAAATAAATTCATATTTCGTGACACAATCATCAGACAAAACACAAGCACCCCCTCCCTTACCTACCTCCTTCCTTCCTTCCCTTTAGAACCCCCCTCCACCCTCCCCCTCCATCCCCTACACAAGGTCACTGAAGGTTGGTGAATGTCGCTACAATGACCGTGACGACGATTTATACTCATCACGTCATTAGTGTAGCAATGGTTGGTGCTAATAATCTGTGATGATGTACTGGGTCACCCCAATTAGGTACACGTACAAGCCGGATGTTAAATCGTGTGTGTGTGTGTGTGTCTTGATGGTATTAGTCAGGTCCCAGGTCAAGGAATTAATAGGTAATGTGTTTATTTTCCTTTTAACTTATTTTGTAGTCATTCCTCTCTTCTACATCCTCATTATCTCATTCTCCAGTTATCAGTTTTCCCCCATTATCCTGCATCATCCTCATAGTTCTTTATTTTCCTTCACGGGTCAGTTTAACAGATTCCCCCTATCCCCCCCTCCTCCTCCTTCCCCCTCCTCCCTGCTCCTTCCCTCTTCCTCATATCCCCACTCCTTCCCCACCTCCTCCACCTCCTCCCCGCCGTTTCAGAAGGTTTTTGGGAACGCCACCGTAGCAACTACTGACTCTATGCCATAGAGCGTCGACACGAATAACCATAGCGTCTGTTGTTTCTGTCCGCCTCAGTTTGACACGTTTACGGAAGCTACGCCAGACGAACGTTCGCTTACTTTATGCCTGCAGTGACGAAACCGCTTTTTCCGTCGATTTTTCTTTTAGGATTTACCATCGCCATTACTAAACAATTGGCGGGCGAACGTCAGAGTTTCGTTAAGGGATGAAAATCAACTTCAGGTGCTGTTGATTGCTCGTACTGGCAATGTTTATCATAGTTGACGCCCAGGTTTTATGGTCGTCCCGGTGCCTCGTAGTGGTAGGATGGTCCACAGCAACTGCCGGAGGACCTCTAAAGATACGCCCTTCTCAAGTACGTTGTGGAAAGGTTCTCGGATAGTGTCAGGAGGGAAGGAGCATCACGGCCACCTCCCCCACCCCCAGGTCCTCATTATCAACATTAACTCAACTATATCAAAAATTTTCTCAGAAGTTCTCACATATGGCAGGAGGCAAGATAATATAATAGAATCTGTCGTTAGTTTTTTCAATAGAGAATAAAAGAAAGTCTAAATGGGTATCTATAATAAGTGAAGACCTTTCGAATTTGCTTGCTGTAATTTGATAATGTTCTCAGAACCTTCTAAACATAATGTAGAGAAAATATTGTTATTCACGAAATCATATAGATACATGGACGCATACAGTATATGTCTAACTGTAATACTTTCTGAGTTTTGTTATTTTAGATAAATTGACAAGGTTGTTAATCAATTTACCTAATCAAATCTCTCTCTCTCTCTCTCTCTCTCTCTCTCTCTCTCTCTCTCTCTCTCTCTCTCTCTCTCTCTCTCACACACACTATTATCATAATATGTCTGAATTGATCCTCATCCATCACACATTTCGAAGAGTTTGTCGTTTAACTACGTGTGAATTGATGGTGAAATAGATCGAGAAATATAGTGAGACAACATCTGAATGTCTACACTATAGGCAGTTTCTCTCTGTGGTTGAGAACTGCGTCTTGTAGGAGAGAGATAATTATGTAATAACCTAAACCACAGGAAGGGAGTGGTGGTGATACAAGTCTTACCCTGTGTGTGAGTGTGTGTGTGTGTGTGTGTGTGTGTGTGTGTGTGTGTCCCTTCACCCCTCACACTTTCCCCTTTCTCTTGGTGCCCCTTTCCTTTCACCTGGCACCCCTTACTCTCTCCTGGCACCCCCTTCATCCCCACTCCCTTTGCTCTCCAATATCCTTTGCTCTTCCTTTCCTTCGAAATTCTCCTTCCTCCATTCCTTCTCTCATCATCTCCTTCTAACCTTTTCCTCATATATTTTCCTTTCTTCTCCCTATTTTCTCCCTCTTCCTGCTCTCCCTTTCCCTATCTCTCTTCCCCCCCTTCCTCCCCCCTTCCTCTGTCCCTTCCGTCTCCAGCCTATCCCTAATCTCTTCCTCCCTATAATTCTCTTTCCTCCTCTCTCATATCCCTTTACTACCCCTGTTTTCTCTCATTTAATTCTATTCTTCTCTTACATCCTCTAACACTCTGTCTTTCTCTTCTTCCCTAACCTCTTTTTCTTCTCCTTCCTCCTCCTTCTCCCCCCTTCCTCACTCTATCTCCAGTTTTACACTCAACATCTTCTTCCCTTCCTTTCTCCTCTTCTCCTCCTCTCTTCCTTCCCGCTTCCCCCTCTTCTTCTTCTTCTTCTTCCTTGTCTCCTCCTCCTCCTACTCTTCTCTCCTACATGCCTCCCCCCCTAACCAATCCAACAATTCATCCCTCTAAATTCCTTCTTATTTCTCCTCTTCGTTTTCCTCCTCTCCCACCTTCCATCTCTCTCTCTTCTTCTCTCCCTCACCCCGACTCTCACACACACCTTTCCTTCCCCTGTAGACCATGACGATAGCCCAACCTCACATGAGCACCAGCAGAATACATCAGGAGGAAGAAAAATATTACCCTTATATTACGTAAACGATAGAGAAGATGTATACACGAGAGGATCTGAAGGCTGGGGAGGGAAAAGTGACACTATGGCACCTAACTTTGTGCAGTGACCAAAGCGACACTTTTCTAGCGTCTAATTTCACACAGGCATATGACAAAGTTTTATTACCTTCATGGATTGATGAGAAAATACTTGTTTATTATTTCTGAGGGTATAGAGAGAGATCGGTGGCCATCACACAAAGATCTGGTGAATTTCTGAAGTCAGATATTAGCGGACTGGTAACTCAAGGGCGGAGACTCACCTGTCGGATATATAAGCAGGGAAAGCTTCTCGTCTTCACCATACAAACCAATTACCTCTTCCTATCTACGTACGGTCGGTCATGGCGTTGAAAGTGCTGGTGAGTTGTAAAAAAATATTAGAATAAGAATGCAAGTGTGTAGTGTGTATAAAAAGTTATTCTCAGAAGTCAAAAAGTAACATGAATCAGTACAGGTAAATGTATAGGTATAAAATATAGGTAAAGTAATTCGTATTTAGTGACAGTATTAAAGATGTTTGCCTTAAAGAAGCATAATTATCTGTATATATTTATGATAATAACACTAGTACAGTAATTTCCATAAGGTGACAGTATCACAGAGAGAGTGTTTTAACATTCTAATTATTAACAGTCAGTGAAAGAATGTATTTGATTATAAAGTTGAGTTATTAAGAATGTTTGATATATTTTGTTTGTTTGTTTACCTCTATATACAATGAAATTATTTGCAATATATACTTTTTTGCACAGCACAAATTGGTCGGTTGAAAAATATTATCCCAGCCAGTACGTGTTACGAATTACCCCCCTGAGTACAGTGACTTAAGCCCCCGAGAACAGTGACTTAGCCCCAGAGTACAGTGACTTAGCCCCAGAGTACAGTGACTTAACTCCCTGTGTGCAAAGATCTAACCTCCTGAGTACAGTGACTTAACCTCCTTAGTACAATGACTTAACCACCTGAGTACAGTGACTTAACCTCCTGATTACAGTGACCTAGCCCCTGAGTACAGTGACTGAGTACAATGTCATCTTGCTCTAAGGAAGCGTTCATCATATCTAACCACCTGAGTACAGTGACTTAACCTCCTGATTACAGTGACCTAGCCCCTGAGTACAGTGACTGAGTACAATGTCATCTTGCTCTAAGGAAGCGTTCATCATATCTATATTCATATTATTCATATTATTATTTTATTATTATTATTATTATTATTATTATTATTATTATTATTATTATTATTATTATTATTATTATTATTATGGCTCATCATTTCGAGCCAGTGGTTCCTGGGATACTAGAAGCGTTTCGAAACAAATTAATTATGTGACACCTTCAATAAGATCAAACCTTTCAGTATAGTGCCTTTAAAGTGGTGACATAACCTTGGGTATTAAAACTTCTATCCAAAATACAAAACTCTTTGACTTCATTCTTGTGGAAAGATTTACAGGGTAGTTTCACCTGTGGTCTAATGTAAACCTGTTACTCTTCAGGTTAATTGGCGAGAAATAATGTCATTGGTGTTAATTTCGTTTAAAAATATTGCCTATTTCTTTTTTTGCATTCTCTCTTACTTTACCATTCCTCTCTATGTTTTCTCTTGTCCCTTTCACCTCCTGTTCCTTGTTGTCTCTCCAGTCTCATTACATTCCCTATCCATTCCCCTTTTTCCATCTTTACTTTCACTTCAATTTCCCCACCACCCCCTCTCTCTCTCTCTCTCTCTCTCTCGGGTAACGCACCTTTGATAAATTACTCTCATTAACCTGTAGGTGATGTGTTGTGAGGCGCAGTGAAGGTCGCAGATAGTTACAGGAGTGTTGTTGTGGTCGTCATCACTCCCCCGTGAAGAGGAGGATTGTCATTACATCCCCTTTCTCTCCATCCTTCATCTCTACCTTAATCCCTCACCTCCCCCATATTTTCCGTGACTCCCTATTCCCATCTTACCTGCCTGACTCTCTTCACCAATTTCCTACACCTTTTAACACCCACCTCCACTTCTTTTCTTTCTCTCTGGTAATCCCTTCTTTCCTATCTCCATTCTTTCTCTCCTCTCTTAATTCTTCCTCTCTTCTCTCAATCATTCTTCTCCTCGCTCAATCCTTTCTTTCCTTTCTTAGTCACTCCTCTCCTCTCTCAACCTTTCCCCTGCTCCACAGCCTCACTTTCTCTGATTTTTTCTCGTTAGTTATCGAAGGATTTGTCTCATTTAGGGAGTCAGTCTGTGTCATTATAAACTCTACCTTGTTGTTGTTGTTGTGTCCGGCAGGTGTTAGTGATGCTGGTGGGTGTGGCTGCCTCCACCTCCACCTCTCACGTCTCTATCAGCTTCGGGGACGCCAACGTGGAGTACGACAATGACCACGTCCCTCACCACCCTTCATCTCCGGCACCCTACTATCACCCTACCCCCACCTACCACCCAGAACCATCGTATCATCCCGAACCGGCTTACCACTCTCAACCCAAGTATCCTGCCCATCCAACACCCTCCTACCACCCTGAACCAGCATACCACCCTGAACCAGCATACCACCCAGAGCCAGCCTACCAACCCAAACCTGCCTATCATCCCAAGCCAACCTACGACCACCATGAACCAGCCGTACCAGCTTGCGCCGAACTGACCAACGCCACCTACTGCCTGGAAGACGAGGAGTACCCAGAGTATGAGATCAAACACGCTATCCAGTACCACCTGGATAAGTTTAACGACCTGTACGCTGACGTGGCCGACCTTGACACAGAGCTCTCCGTCGAGCGTCCCGAGGCCCTGGAAGAGGAGACTTACCTCTGTCCCTCAGAGACCGCTTACATCCGTCCTCTCCGTGCCCAAAACACCGAAGGCAAGTGGCGCGTCGTCATCAACGAGATTGAGCTTCACTACAAGACTTTCACTCAAACTACCCGAGTCGAGGACTGTCTGACGGCTGGGGAAGACTGCCCTAAAGTTCCAATGTGTTACGAGTCCAAGTGTCTGCAGAAGTCCATCTACCACCGCTTCCTCGTCTACGACCCCTATGATCAGTACTTCCCCTTCGCCATCGAGACCTTCAAGCTGCCCGCCAGCTGTGCCTGTCTGCTGGGCGCCTACACTATTGACCACTAAGTCCAGAATCAGTTTGCTATGATGAAACGTCCTGGAAACCTCATGAACAATCAAATATTTGTTTTGGACAACAACAACTCTCAGCTGGTACATATAATCTGTGTTGGTCTTCTAATAATTGTCATCTCATCAAAACTTAGAAACTGAACATTGAAATACGAATTTTAATTCATCCTAATACTTACCACACTTTATGTTAGGTTATTATAAATTCATTACAGAAATATTGTTCCTGTATAGTCAACTAATATATATATTACTCTCAGTTAAGGATGTATCATCGTTTAGTATTGATGAGATGAATTAAACATATTTCAGGTTGGTACATTTATTGTAGGTATAATTATGCTTGTCCCGCATCCTTCCTTCCTCCCCCAAGTGTTCCTGTGACAATGTGATGTAATGTTATGTTTTGTTCTTAAGAGATACAAAATAACAAACGGTACGTGAAGAAGCAGTTCTCTAGTCATCTCTGTGATATCCTGAACGATTCAACAATGGATATATTTTATCGTAATTCTGTATTTTATAAAATAGGATAATTATAGCACTTCATTTTTGTCATTTATAAGGCATCTTCATTGCATTTCAGCATCACACATGTTGTACATAAAATAAAATAAATTGTTTCTATGTGTTCATTTATTTACGACCCAACAGGAAGGTGACGGCAGTTATCTGAACAATTCTGACGTGACTTGAGAAAAATCCTGACAGTATATATTTTAACATAACTTCAATGTACTTCTTTTATTTTTTTTTAGCTTCTAACTGGCTATAGACGATCATTTAGATAATCACGATGCATATAAAATAACCTAACCTAACCTAACCTATTCAAAATCCCTAACATTGGATCCCATTCTGACTGGTATACATTGGAACTGTGAACCACTAGGATTGAAAACCTCAACTTTATTGATGGAGTTGAAGCCTATTTGGCCTGGTGGAGTCTGTATGGTAAGGTGACAGTGAGCGTACAACCCCTCCTCAGCCCTTCTCCCCCTTTCCCCACTCACCACTCTCTTGGGACTCTGTTTACACGCGTTACATGGTGAAGGATCCCACTTTCTAATACCACAAGGACAAATATTTACACTACACACGTCCTGTTTAAGGCTGTACATTTATGAAGAAATATTCCCCTTTGTTTATCTTCTAATATTACCAGTCAAAATATTTGTATACAGTACACACATGATTTACGTGCTAGCAAGTCTCCTTTCTAATCTTACGAATCTATTATTCAACCAAACATAATCTATTGTTTTGATTTACTCCGTTTATCGTTGCTTTGTATAGTTGCTAGAGAAAGTACTGTTTTATATTAGTAATCCACTGTATTGCACATATTTTAATACTGTATTGCTTTAATAATTTCCTCTATTGTATACTTTGTAACATTATTAACCTAACTAATATAAATACCATCACGCTCTGTAAGTGCTCTGCAGTCCGCTTCACTAGTGCGTTTACAGGGGCTCGTCGTATAAACATTCCACAAATCATGAAATTGAGATATTTGTTTTATTATTGTTTTACTTTCATTCCATAGTATGTCTAATGTAAGCAAACACAGGGCTGCCACTATGTACAAAACCTGACAAGCCCCTGTAAACGCACTAGTGAAAGGCGAGTGTAACTTTGCCGCAACCACTTACACAATACAGTACCTGCCGTCCGGGGGTGGTAGTAGTGTGGAAGCCGCATTGGAACCACAAATGAGGGTTTGGTTGGTGGTGATAATAGTAGTGGTAGCATCACTGTTGTTGGTAGACGAGATAGTAGTAGTAGTAGTAGTAGTAGTAGTAGTAGTAGTAGTAGTGCGACCCGTGGTGTAATAGTCAGTAATACCTTACAGCCATTTGCCTCTGTGTACCCAGAAAAAATTGGGAACGTGAATATTATCGATTTAGGGTTTGTGTTCCGGGGTAATGGTTAGCCAGTACAGTTGGCGAGCTGTCCGGTCTTCTTGGGTTAAAGGAATTCCAGAGTTTCAAGACCACCTTGGGGGGGAAGGTCTTGACCGTGGAAATAATAGTGATGACGTGGGTTTCCTCTGCTGTGTGTGACGTAAACATGTTTGAGGTCTCCAGTCAGTAAGTCTCTGTTGACCGTGTATATTACGTCCCAACTAAGTCACTCTACCTCTCCCACGTTACCAACCTCAGAGTCTCCTTCAGGCTGGCTGGGTGGGTCGTGGCGCAGTTTTGTGTCGCAGTCCACCAACACCAGCAGAGGGTGTCATGGTCACGCCCCGCGGCACCACCTGTTTAGTTGTCAAGGTTACTTTTCATTCTTTATCTCTATTTTTCTCTCTCTTCATCTATCACTTCTCAGCTCTCTCTTCATCAGGAAACTCGCCGGGTGGTGTGAGTTTACCACACAACAGACTCAGTAAAGCCGTTCAGAGGTGTGACACTACAAAATCATCAAGTACCGTACTCAGTTCTTAGCACACTGTAAATACGTCCAGTGGTGTTCTATAACAGATTAACAATCCATAATATTAATGGTAGCGAAGCGTTCATTCTTAATCATAGCGCAAGTGACGCCATACCAGTGCACACGACATGAAGAACACCCTTACCTCACACCATTATTCATGCCTCGGTTGTGTTGTACAATATATGTGAATGACTAAAGATGCCGGGGTATACCTTACTCAGAGAGGTCGATCATCTCAAACATTTTGTAATTTAAACATGTGAAAATGTGTCCCATTAGGCGTGACGGGCCTTTACGAGCAGTGCGACGCAGAACTCTGTTGACTGCACCTTTCTTTGGTACACAAGGAGGCAACGTAGCTGACACTACACTTGCCCACCTTTACTTACCCCTCTGTGAAAATAAGTACCCATTCACAGGTGGGTGAACTAGGGACGGGTGCAAGCCAGTGACTCTTGGGACGGGAGGCGAGCCCTGTGCCCAATTTGCCACTACCTTCCTGTTTTAAATATATACCACATTAAAGATTCATATGTTACAAAAGATTTTATCAAGTAGAGTCTTTTTACCTCATGAACCAAAGATCACTGATTCATTTCCCGATTTTAATTAATTTCATTTCATAAGGATTAAAATTACTCTCGAAGGTTTAGTCTGGTCAGTACATGTCCAGTCGTCTCTCATTAATTGGCCAAGCTAAGCAAACCTGTAAAGTGATTTCTGCTTCTTGTTTCATCTTTCTCTTCGTTATTGCCTTACATATATCGTAAATAATATACATTTATTCTACAGCAACACCACTGGTGGCTTCCCCCAGTTACATTGTTTCCTTTTGACAGTGTGTTGCCGTGGCTGAGGAGTTGCGTCTCTGTGAGAGAATTCACAACATAAATTATTAGTTGTTAAAGTGTGTTTACCTGTACAATGTGTGCAGGTCCTGTTCCCAAAGACAGGAAGCTCCGGACTTCAGCCGTTCAGAGATACAGTGGTAGAGGAGCATCTCTGTAGTATCCCAGTGTTGGTGTTTGAGAGAGATATTCCCTTCTTTAAATATTATATTTGTTTATTTTCGTCTTCGTTAAAATTTCCTCAAGGTTGTAAATTAAGTGAGGGAGAGACAGCTGTATTAAATATCGGCGTGTGTGTTGACGGTATAACATTACTTACTTCTGGACGATACTATTACTTGAACCTTTTAAAAGTCACTGAAAGTTTGCCACACACACACACACACACACACACAGAAGGTCGTCATGCGTGCTGGGCCATCTGTCAGCCTATTCTACACAACCCGAAACACTGTCATCTCGCAACCCAAGTGGAGTGTTGTGAGCTGGTGTTCTTGGTCGGATATTTGGTATAACGGCTGGTGATATCGTGTGTTTATCAGAAAAACAAAAACGAAAGTAAGCTTAAATAGCAAATAATAATCAGTAAATATAAAACCCAATAAAAAGTAATGAAGAATCAACCACAATAACAAAAGCCGTAAGTAACAAACCAATGATCACAAGCAACAGGAATACACAAATAACAAACCTCAAATAAGTGACCATAAATAACAAGAAATAAATTACAACTATGAATAACAAAATAAACGACCCAGGTGACAGGTCTCATTATCTCATGCCCAGGTAAGAGAGCACCTTTCAAGACGTAACACAGGTAATCATCTTAATGACATGTTGCAACTCGCTCCTGTATATACGTCAGTTTTCATTTACTCCTTCGTGAATTATTGTGATTATCTCAATTATCGAATTACGACCTAAAGAGGCAATAACGCGTGATAATCAGTAACATTAGAGGCTCCTGGGGTTAATGGTGGCCGGTGTGGAGTAGAGGCAGCTGTTCACGACATCACGAAAAAGGAACACTTTGATGTTTACTTTGTCATTATCCGCTCGTTGACGCCTGCCGCAGCATCACGAGTCGAGGTGATGAAGGTGGGGGCCTGAGATAATGGGGGAGGTAGAGTTGGAGGTGGTGGAGAATTTAACGGAGGATGTGACTTAAGAGATGATATAGGGAGAAATAGGTGGAGTAGGTGCGCCTCTACGCAGGGTACAGTCTAAGAAATAAATATCTTTCTCAAGTTTATCGAATATATAGCGGGAAAGTTTTGTCATCTGACGCATGGATCTGTTACTTCGTGAACAGTTGGCAGGTCTGTGGAACCTTAGAGAAGGGTAGCCAGTTACATCATTGATTCGCATGATTACTTTTCTACGATAATTAATCGTTCATTGTAATATACCGTATATTAGGTGGATTTTCATTTTTATTTAGTAGTTGACATTGAGGTTAGAGTAAGTAAATATCAAACAAACTTTGAAAAACCCACCACGAACGTGCTAGTCAATAAGACCTCTGCACTCTTGTTACTTACACTTCTAGATATAAAACCCAATACTCTGTTTGCCTTATTTCGAACATTAACGCACTGCTTTCTAGGCCGTAGGTCCGGGCTTACAAGTACCCCTAGGTCTCTTTCACAAGTCGACTTCTCTAGTTTGATGTTGTTAAGGCTGTATACATTATCAGTATTTGTTCTTCCAATATTTAGTACGCTGCACTTGCTGGTGTTGAATTTCATTTGCCATTTTTCAGACCACCCCTGCAGTTTATTTAGCTCCTCCTGTAATGCATTTGCATCCTGCCCTGAATTAATCTGCCGCCCTATTTTGGTGTCATACGCAAATTTGCTTATGTCACTGCTGATCCCAGTATCTACATCGTTTATGTAGATTATGAACAAGAGTGGGCCTAGTACTGACCCCTGGGGAACCCCACTGGTTACACGGCCCCACTCAGATTTAACACCATCTACGCTGACTCTCTGCGTTCTATCGGTGAGCCATGATTTTATCCAATATAAACTTTCCCCTCGATACCATGAGCCTTAATTTTTCTCAGAAGCCTCTGATACGGTACTCTGTCAAATGCTTTGCTAAAGTCTAAGTAAATAACATCGTAATTTTCGTCATTATCTACTACCTCGAAGGCTTTCCTAAAAAACGTCAGCAGATTTGTTAGGACAAGATTTTCCTTTTGTAAACCCATGTTGAGAGTCGTAGATTAATTTGCTTTTCTCTAGATGCGATCGGATGCTATCTGCTATAATTGATTCAAGAAATTTCCCCACTACTGACGTCAGACTGATCGGCCGGTAATTTGACGCTGACGTTTCGTCACTCGACTCTTTCAAAGGATGAAAAAGTCTAGTGGCGAAACGTCAAGAATAAAGCTCCATCTCTTAATTGTGTTTCCTTCAATACCACACTACCTAGCTTGAGTTGCCAACTCTGGCTTGCCGCACTGGGGCACAGGCTGGGTGATCAGTGTACAGTACACGGTGGTATCTACGTTGGGACATAAGCGATCATACGTGAGTACAGATTATGATTCACTGACTAGGAACTCGTTTTTTTTAGTGTGTAAAATTCTATTGTTATAATATCGCGTCTCTCTCCTCTTGTTACATCATCATTTGTCGGCCGCATGTTCCTTCTTCAGGGGTTAATAATTATCTTTGACTAATTCTATCTCTGCTAAGCCACGCCTGTTATTTACCTGTACATAATAAGTAGTATGGACACATTTGGGGAATATTTATGTGTTTGTCAGCACTTGTTACAGGTGTATACACCATTCCCCCAAGAATAAAGTTGGCTGTTGTACAATTCATCTGAGTTTCCTTCGCCCAACGGGAGAGATCCGCTGTTACAACTGGTGTAAAATGACGAGTTCGGTATCAAGAACTTAAACTGACCCAGATATTGTTTGTATATTATTATTGTTTAAATGACGGTGAAGTTTTTGCCCCCTTCTTCTACACAACAGCGGGCCGTTGACTTCCTGCCATTTCAGGTCATCCATGAGGGCATTGTTCCTATGTTGAGAGTAGAAGCCGAATACTCTACTTATATATCGTGTGAACCCCATAGCAAAACATTTAGTGTTCTTAAAGCAACTTGTCTCTTCGTTCCACTTCGTCTCCAAACAATTATCTCCGCGTTTCTCTCTCATTTGTTATTACTCAAAATATTCTCCTCGTCTTCCTTTCACTTTCTCGTATATCTCATCTCTTAACCCCAACACTTCCATACGTCAACTTTCTATGGTTAATCTAGGAATAATAAAGTAATATAATATTACTCCTTTATTAGATAACTGCAGAGATACATAACACACGTATTACTTTGTGCAAGAGGAACACGGTGCAGAAGTGACTGTAAGTTGAACTTATAATAATGAGACATATTTCTTGGTAACAGGTTACCATTTGTCATCACCATTGACTAGAAGGTAAAATTACAGATTACTGTGTTTGGGGGTGAGGGGGCTGTCCCCATAAATAAATAACTATATATATATATATATATATATATATATATATATATATATATATATATATATATGTTTGTGTGTGTGTGTGTGTGTGTAGGGGGTTTGTTTGTGTAAATATCCTTTTATCCATGTGTTTATGTGTGTGTGTGCTTGTGTGACATTGAATTATTTGCAGCATTCACGTCGTCCATAAAATATTGCATAAAGGTATATTATGAGGGGGCAAGGTCACAGAACTAGGTAGATAATTCCCAAGAATCACACATGAACTTGGTGGTGTAAGGGAGATGTCTCAGGGAACCAGGTAGTAGGTGTTGCGCTTGCCGGGCATACATATACGACTACCAAATTCACAGATGTCTAGGCAGCACTTCTCGTTCTTCCTGCAATCACTGTCATCCGAGCAACTCTGCAGAAAGACGAAGAAAATATGAAGAGCCGTTCTCTCTCTCTCTCTCTCTCTCTCTCAGTATTATCTAATATCATTTGTGATTTATATTTGGACACCAGCATCTTAGCATTAAAATGGGTTCATCTGTTTATAGTTTGTATACCAACACGGATTTCTGTGACTTATGGCCTGTTTGCTGACCGTGGGGCCTATGGTCTACAATTTATATGTTGACACTAGATGTAAATTGTTGCATGTCATAACTGCGTGTGGAGATTTATTCAGGAAATGAATGTTATGAATGTTTATAAATGCTTTATCTACACTAACTAACCTAGCCTTAGTGAAGAATTTACTGGGTTCCACACCAAGTAAATTCTACACTCGTGAATATATACAGAGGTGTGGCACGTACATCCATCCCAAGAACTAGATAAAAAAACAAAAAACTTTAATATCATAGAGTCCCAAAGACCCATAAACAGGGCAAAATAGATAATCAAACCTATTTGCAATGAAAAAAAGTTACCGTAGACAGTCATCTGAGGAGACTCGTCGTCAATATTTGTTATATAATGTGGAACTTGCTGAGACTTACCTTAACCTCCATATGTTTGACCATGATGTAAGGATCTTTACAGTCCACATAAATCCGAGGCATCGGGGGGCATCCAGAGGACCCTGTCAATGAAAACAGTGTTAGTCTCAGCCCTTAGCCTGTATGGAGTCATGACAGTCTCCTCCCCATCTATGAACAAGTCTCAATCATCTTCAAGTACCACTCTAAGGGAAAACATAAGAGTCTATCTTTACTTTATCAGAGAGTTAAAATTTTCTTTGCATCTTTGGTAAGTTTTAATTTCTTATAACCTCCCCACCTATATTACCTTCGTCCCTTTCCCCGAAGCTAGAGAAAAATCTATAAATGTGTAACATCTAACCAAGACACAACACTATACATTATACACAGATCAGAGACAAAACTGGAAAATATTAAAAAAAAAAAAACATTGAACTTGACGATAACTAAAATCTTATCCTCAAATAATGTAAATAAAAATATCTATTGACAATGAATTTTTGCTACCTTCCTATTGTGTACTATCACTACATTACCATTCAATAACAATTGCTTCCTATTGATGCCTACATTACTCCCAACCATCCATCAACATCTTTTTACTCCTCACTAGAGTGCACTGAATGTCGTTCATGCACCGTAAAATGTGTTTTTTGTAATCTCTCTTTAGTCGTCCAATTCCGACAACTTTGTATTTCCCTCCACTCTATAATCCTCAGTAACCCCAAAATGCACCAGTTACCTTCTAAGATCCACTTTACTCTTTCCTATACCCGCCTCTCTTCTCATACTTACCACCACTCAAAGCTGAATCACAGCAGACTTCTCGTCCATAGCGGTTTTTACAAATCTTCTTACAGGCCGGACCAGCCCGCGTCATCACCATCAACACCAGCAACAGTAGGAGTAGCGAGAAGGGTTTTGTGGTATAACAAGTCTGTTAAGATAATAATAATAATAATAATAACGATATATATGCTCTAGTAACTGTGGGTCTACCGTCGTTATCACTTCGTTAGACCCCGGGTCGTTCTACAGTCATGTGCTAACATACGAAACACAAGTTAGTACAACCAATTTATAGTTTGAGGAATAAACACGTATGACTGTTTGTTACACTTACCATGATTGCCAGCACAGGTATACGTCCTCTTACAGTGAAAGCTGAAGCCGCACTCCGTCGCTCACCCGCACACTTTCCCTTAAATACTTTCCTCTCACTATGGACACACGCCCCATCAACGTGGCTCGACGTCACAGCTCATGTTACAGTATAATGTTTATTCTTATTAACATTATCATCTTCCGGTGACCCACAAACACAACTGTAGAATTAGGTAACTACGTTTTAATTTAATATTGTAAGATACAACGTTAATTTAGGAGATAATGGAGCCATTACTCATAAAATATTGTTTTGTTTACTTGCAGAGCACATGCCCAATATCTATCTATCTATCTATCTATCTATCTATCTATCTATCTGTCTGTCTGTCTGTCTGTCTGTCTGTCTGTCACGCTTGTTAGGGATATACGTCTCATTAAGCTTTAAAAGGGAACTGGTGTTTTTTCCATATCGAAATCACTATTTGTGGGCATTATTTTATACGGTATATTATTTGTTCTGTTTCATTTAAGATTACTTTTACTATCATGGCATCCTAAACAGAGATAAATTATATTTATTTTTGGGTGAAACTTTTGGCTGGCCATAGAGTAGACGATCATGTAGATAATGTTAATATACTGTATGTAAATGCATAGATTCATATTTTACCTTACCTTACCTTACCTTACCTAACTTAGCTTTAACTTACCTTACCTAACTTAGCTTTACATAACTTAACCTAAACTTACCTTACCTTACCTTACAGTATCTAACCTAACCTTACCAAACCTAGCTTTACCTAACCTTACCTAACCTTACCTTACCTTACCTTACCCTACCCTACCCTACCTTACCTTACCTTACCTTACCTTACCTTACCTTACCTTACCTCAGTATCTAACCTAACCTTACCAAACCAGCTTTACCTAACCTGCTTTACCTTAACCTTATTACCTTACCTTACCTTACCTTTACCTTACTCCACCTTACCTTACCTTACCTTACTCCACCTTACCTTTACAGTATCTAACCTAACCTTACCAAACCCAGCTTAATTCCACCCACCTAACCTTACCTTACCCACCTTTACCTTACCTTAATTCTACCCTACCTTACCTTACCTTACCTTACCTTACCCAACCTTACCTTACCTTACCTTACCCAACCTTACCTTACCTTACCTTAACCTAACCTTACCTTACCTTACCTTAGCTAACCTAACCTAACCTAACCTAACCTTTACCCCTTCCCTTACCTTACCCTACCTTACCTACCTTACCTTACCTTACCTTACCTTACCTTACCTTACAGTATCTAACCTAACCTTACCAAACCTAGCTTTACCTAACCTTACCTTACCTTACCTTACCTTACCTTACCTTACCTTACCTTACCTTACCTTACCTTACAGTATCTAACCTAACCTTACCAAACCTAGCTTTACCTAACCTTACCATACCTCATCTACTTAATGAGTTAGCATCCTTGACGCTCTCAGGGAATAAACTGTACAATCCAATTACCAAATAGCAAGGAGGAGTGGGGGGGGTCCCAGTGTTGGCTTGCCGGGAGGATATTTTGCTTAAACAATGTGTGGGCAGCAATGTAAGGGTGTGTATTACTGTTTGTTATTGACGTTATTATATTAAGTTTTACTTCTTGTAAATAATGAAAATATTTGCTGTGGATATACAAGGAAGACTAATTTAGCTATAATCACACACACACACACACACACACACACACACATTCAAAAGGCAGATTATGTCTTAATTCCTTTAGTAATTAATGTGAATATTTATCTATATTGTGAGTTAAAAGCTCGTGTATGCTGGTGTTGGTTCAGGGCGGGAATTTTGGGTTATATGAATAACAGATAAAAAGAGAATTTAAAGAAAACCAAAAAGTAACATAAATATAAAGTATTCATAATTGCATTAAATATTCAATGAAATACTACGCCCATAACGTAACTATTTTAATGACAATAACATAGCTGGAAAGTAGGAAATTATTTTGTTGAGAACAAAAGGTGTTGGGCGGGTGTGAGGTGAGCGGCGGGAAGGGAAGTCCCCCTAACTCTCTCTCGGCTAAAGCGGGACACAGGGACGTTCACCTTAATGAACTGCAGTTGTTATTATCAACACATTTTCACAGAGCCGACTGAAATAACATGAATGATAAACATCTATTCCTCTGATGGAACTAAACAACATGTCCAATTTATCGAAGTCCAAAGTTCAACCCAGGAACTATCCTTTGGCCGGTAATAGTGGATAAGTAAAAGGTCAGTCAGTGACTCGGGGGAATCCTACTTGTCATGGTGAGAGATTCAAATGCAGGACTCACTCTTGTTGTCTATCACTACCACCATACAATACGTTTAGAGGAACAAATAAATAAACAACAACAACAATGCAACATCAGCGCAATTGATGTCACAGGGTGTGTTTGTTTACAGGTAAGTCCCCACCCCACCCCTCCACCCTCGGTTGTGTAACGGGAGATACAAAACATGATAAGAGAAACACGGAGACAATCATTGTGTAATAACAACAATCGCTGCAGCACAAACTGTATGAACGCGGAGGAACACAACGACCTTTTCGTACATATTTTTTTCCTGATATAATTTAAGTATTATTTTAAATGTAAAAATATTTTTGTTTATTAAGTTTAAGTGCAATAGTTTGTCATCTTTAAACGATATTTATTTAGCATTTTTAATATGTTTAACACAAACATATACAGACAGGCTAACTATACGTGAGTGTGTGTGTGTGTGTGTGTGTGAGTGTTCCGCTGGGTTGCCGCTTTCTTCTTGCGGAAGGTATCTGCTTTAGTCCACGACTGAAAGTTCTGCCAGTCGGTAAAGCAGCTTGTTTATCATCGCCAAGTACATTGATTGCCGGGTCATTTTCACCAAACCAGTCCTGGTGTATTCTTTCGATCTGGCCGAGGGTCTCTGTGCAGGTTTTTGTCATAAAAGTGTCGAGAATATCCCATTTGGCGCTGGGATTTGGGTTGTTTGTTGTCGGGTTGTTTATCAGCCCATGTTTGAGCTGCTCTCTGAAAGCATGACCTTATCTTCTCTGGGGATAGAGATTAGCACTCTGAGGAGGTTGGCGTAAAAGGCCTGCTTGATACTTGATATCATCCTCTGCATTCAGTGATGGGGCGTATGGACTGATGAAAAGGCTTGGCGAGAGTGATTCAGTGAGACTCGGAGAGTCATGAGGCACTCGTTGATCCCAATAGGCATTTCAGTTAGCCTGTGTAGGATGCGTTGGCGGATGGCAAAGTCATCTCCAAAATAAATGCGATTTCTCTCCGCAGCAGGCTTACCCTTCCAGAAGAAGGTATAGCCAGACCCCTGTTCTGTGGGTTGACCCTCGTCTGGGAGACGGGACTGCTATGGCTGCTATGGCGATGTTATACCTAGCCAGCTCTTTTGCCCCAAGGGCAGTTCTTCTTTCAAGACGCTCATTTGTGCCAGGATCGAGAAGGGTCCTGACATTTCGAGCAGTTGCCCAGTCAGGTTGGTTTTTAGGCAGGCTATGATTAGAGCACCTTTTCTAGCCCCCTCCCCATGTGGCGTGAGCAGAGAGGCTCTTCGAAAGGGCTGCTCAGTCGCATAGACAGGACCGCGTTGCACTGCTGCCTAGATCCCAGTGCATAAACGACCATCTTATCTTTGCTGCCCATGTGAAGAGTTGTGACTAGAGACTCCAGGCAGTCATCTCTGCCTGTCCCCGTCGCCACTCGTCTTTGCCATAGGACTTTTGGAGGTATAGGACTTTTGATGATGATGAGAGGTATGATGAGCTGCAAGTGAGTTGATTTATGTGTGGAGGCAGGAGTGCAAGCTGCAGCCACACATCTTGGCTATCCCTTTTCCTGATCCAGTGGCTGCAAGTTTTGCAACGACTGGGGAAAGGGAGAGTTTCAATGGACTGCAGATAGCCCATTTTTTTGGGTATTGCCTTAGTAGCCTGTCCATCAGGCATTGCCTTCATCCGCCGGTGTAGTCATTGGTTTCCCATGGTGGTCACATCTTCCGCTTATACCACCATTGGGGCCTTGTTGGAGCTCTGTAAACATGCCTGCCAGATTTTCGTTTAGGGTTTACTCCCGTAGCCTTATACTGTACTTACCAAGGTTAATCCGCAAGACAGCGAGGAAATGGTTGGTAGGCGATAGGACGTGTCCAACTGCCAGTGGGCCTCTGTGCCATACCTTTGGGGCCCACTGCTACTCCGAGATCCCCTGTTGGTCTAGCTTTGGCCCACGAGGCACCCAGTTACCGTGTGTTGCTACGAGGAGGCACAGGAGGAGTGTTGATGGTGAAGAGGGTGTGTACTGGCAGGGGAAGGCTTGTGCAAGATGATTCCCTGTTCACCACGAGGGCTATCCAACGGCAGTGGCTGAAAACGAGGGGGAGACAAGCAGTGCCTACACCTTAACACTAACATAATGCTGCCACACTAGAAGCATTACACCACCCACGCATTACACACACACACACACACACACACGCACACGCAGAATCATGCTCGGCGCAGACTACTCCGGCTACAACAACGCTCTCTCCACCCTGGAAATGCCATCCCTCAGTGACCTCCACCACCACGCACTAGCACGGTTTGGTAATGGACTACTGCACCATCCTCGTCATCGCCAACAACTGCCACCTGCAGTCCCACGCCCACCTTGCGCAGTCCGCCATTACAACAAAATTCAACCCATAAGAGCCCGCACTGATAGATATAAGAACAGCACCATCCCATCTATTGTTAAAATAATAAACAGCTCATGATTTATGTACTGTGCAGCCCTGTTAATGTATTGAACGTATATCATTATGTCTAAATCACATGTAAGTTTGTATATTTTCAGCCACCGGCTGTAACTCTGTTAATAAACCGTTCATTATTATTATTATTATTATTATTATTATTATTATTATTATTATTAGTATTATTATCATTATTATTATTATTATTATTATTATTATTATTATTATTATAATTATTATTATCATTGTTATTATTATTATTATTTTTATTATTATTATTATTTTTATTTTTATTATTATTATTATTATTATTATTATTATTATTATTATTATTATTATTATTATTATTATTATTATTATTATTATTTACAAATGTAACTAGTTCGTCCTTTGGGTGTGTTTACTAGGTTCTGGGTCCAAGTGGCTATGATTGGTAATCATTCTTTCTTCCTGGTCACAGGTATCACCCTAGTCCAGCTTGAAACACGGTTTTTTTCAATTTCCTCTTCAAATAATTGCAGAAGGGATGAAATATAGTCTTGTGCAGTGTTTTTCTCTCCATTAACAATATCATGTACAGAACCTTCCGAGACAGAAACCTCGCAATGTAAGGCAGCGGTAAGAGTCTGTGAAATATCTCAGCCAGTGATAGACTAACTCATACAAAGAGCAGCTGGGCGTCACCTCAGTCACGGTCACGTGATCTAACCATATGGAAATGATTAAAGGAGCCTGAGAAACTATGCGGTATCAAAGTCTCAAAACCTACCATTAGTTATGTATACACTAATGCCATATAATATTTTGTCTTATACTTAGGTATACTATACGAATAGCTAAATTAAATAACAATCTCGTGATGGCGTGTTACACAAATGTAATAACCTCTTTCAACATAAAAGCAGTAGTGCAGTACCCATATAAATGTGGGCTACTTACCATGCATTAATTGTATATGAAACCTTACCCAACGTAGCCGGGCTATGAGCAGTGTTAGGTACAACAATAGAAGTGATTTCCTGATCACGTAGCTCAATGACTTCCAACTGACCCTCACGCACTAGTGGATGTTTGGGTCATATCAACTAACCGGCTCTTATTATAATGGTTGCCCCTCGTGTTCGAGGCTAACCGGCTCTGGGGCCACCTGGCGCTCCTCTCAGAGCAGCCAGGTCAACTGTTATGTTGGCCCATACCAACTCCCTCCCCTGAACCCTCCTCCCCACCGGAATATCAACATGTTCTGCCAGAAGTTACTATTTCATTTGGAAAAGGAATGGAACCAGTGTTAAACAGAGGTGAACAGTGGTGAACAGTGCTTAAGTCAGTGAGAACAACTCAACAGTAACAGTGGTACCCAAGTTGACCTTCACACAGTGAGGTCCCAGGTACCCAGTGATAACGTGAGACCCAACAGCCAGCGATGTGTTAATCCGTCTACGATAGGAAGGCCTGGGACCACACCTCACTCATAGAACACCGTCTGTGAGGGAACTACTACACCACGTGAGGCCCCTCATAACACCATATGTGAAGGAGTTACTACACCACGTGAGGCCCCTCATAACACCACCTGTGAGGGAATTACTACACCACGTGAGGCCCCTCATAACACCATCTGTGAGGGAATTACTACACCACGTGAGGCCCCTCATAACACCATCTGTGAGGGAATTACTACACCACGAGGCCCCTCATAACACCATCTGTGAGGGAATTAGGACACCACGTGAGGCCCCTCATAACGCCATCTGTGAGGGAATTACTACACCACGTGAGGCCCCTCATAACACCATCTGTGAGGGAACTACTACACCACGTGAGGTCCCTCCTAACACCATCTGGGAGGGAGTTACTACACTACGTTTTTGCTGTTCAACACCTACATTAATCTGAATGTTCACTGTATGTCCCTTTACCTTTCTCTAATGAAGGCTTTTGTTAAACCACCAATGTATGTAATAAGGCATTTATGTCCAATGTATATTTTCAGCCTTCGGGCTGCAGAACTTTTTCAATAAACCGTTAATTATTATTATTATTATTATTTATGTGTTAAAGGTGTGGAAGCTGTCGTCAACACAACAACCACACCTAATGTTTAACGAGTTGCATGACCCAGTGTCAAGGAATAGTCCGAGAAGACCGGACAACTCGCCAACTGCCCTAGCTAACCATTATCTCGAAACACTATTCGCAAACCGATTAATATCCAGGTCCCCAATTATTGCTGGGTAGACAGAGGCAAAAGGCCACACGCGTTGCTGTTGGCCACTGCTCAGTATTGCGCTATACTTGGCAACAGATTGTTTGTTCGATTAACTTTTATGTACAGTGTCCTAGGAGGGTTGGTATGCGTGGCTCTGTGCCCTGCTGATCCGACTACATTTGTAACCAACAATCATATTAATTACACCGAAATAAACACACACTGCATTACTTATGTTGAATTATGTACCGAAGTAAATGCATGTTCCAATCTCTATCATTCGTGGTCTCATAATGTTTCACACAGTGTGTTGATACATACTTTTTGAAATACTCTACATTCATTTAAAGCAGACACAGGGTCTGCACGAACCAAATTGCTCAAACTGTTCTGAAAGACCGAGACAGCCGGTCGAGACAGTGGTTTCTAAGCTGGTCGAAATTCTTGCTATTACTCTTTGATGGTAATATCTCGTGCAATACAATGCAATATCAGTAATGTAGTAGAGACCATCAAGTCAGAGGCCGAAGCCGATATCTCTCCTACGAGATCGAGACCTTGAGAAGTCGAGACCGAGAACGAGACCAACTTCAATTTTAGCATTCACTATATCCTGTGCAGTAGCCGAGCTTTTGGAATAATGTTTTAATTAAATATATCTTAGATCACCTGAGGATTAGAAATCCCGGCATCGCTCCCGCCGGCGAGCATGGCGACCCACAAGCTGGTCCTCATCTGAGCACCCTCACCAACCAGCTCTCTCTACATCACGCTTGTAACCACGCTGCCACTTCCCAGCACCAAGCTGCATTGTACATCCAATACAACATGTATACAGAGAGCACATTGTGAGTTTCCTTTCTCCATCCCATCCTGAGTGTGAACCAAACATTTCGTACCCCACAGTATCTTAAAATATGGAAATATTCATCAGCTAGTACAGGAATGTGTGTACCAACCACCTAATTATATTATGTTGTAATTTTTAATTTCATGATATAAATATGAGTAATTTTTATTATTATTATTATTATTATTATTATTATTATTATTATTATTATTATTATTATTATTATATTGTATATTTTTATTTGTTTTATTTACTTTGAACTAATTATTTTTATTATTGTTATTCTTATTTCATTTTCGCCCCCCAGGCCCCGATGGGGGTCAGAATATATATATATATATATATATATATATATATATATATATATATATATATATATATATATATATATATATATATGCAAGTAAATCACTGTAGGTTGATTCTAACTCACATCAGAGGTCTTCTGAGCAATATATATATATATATATATATATATATATATATATATATATATATATATATATATATATATATATATATATATATATATATATATATATATATATATATATATATATATATATATATATATATATATATATATATATATATATATATATATATATATATATATACTGTATTTATGGAATGCTGCTGTCCTCTGTTGGCTGGGTGGGTGTGGTGTTTCACTTCACATCCACCACACACATCACCTGACCACCACACAGCCTCCCTCGCCAACACTACACACACCAGTTGATAGTCTCGCTGAATTATTTGCGGGTTTACATGTTGGTTCTGGCAGTGGACGGTGTTTGTGTCGTGTAGTGCAGGGTGCCAGAGTACTCCCTCATTGTGTGGTGAACAGTGATTGGTACACAGCGTATGTGAAACACAAGTTGTTCCTTGTTGGTGGTGCACTTTATCTTTTGCCCGGTGTGCGGCTCACGGGATGAAAAGCAATTGGTTAGGTTAGTTTACTGATTGGTCCACATTGTGGTTCATGTTCTGTGATGTACGGTGTGGAACACGATGTGTAATGCATGATGTAGCGCAAGATGTTTAGTGCACGATACGTGGCACACAGTGTGTGCAACACGGTATGACACAATGTATGGTGTACTATGTGTGGTGCACAGTATGTGGTACACGACGTGTATCATACAATGTAGTGCACAAGGTGTAGTACAAGAATAGTCAGCCAAAAAAAAGGTGTCCAAAGGGATATAAGAAAAAGGCAGACGTACACCACATGATTTGATCAATTAGGTCTCCTCCCACACACTTACTCCACAGTCCATCATACTCACTCTCACACTCTGCCAGGTCTTTATTATAAGTCTTCTGGCTACAATAACCTCCTTCAGCTCCTCAACTATTGTGACAGCAGCACCCTCGGAGGTGGAACTAAAGTTCTTGAAATAGATTATCGTCGCTTGGGACTAAACCTAACCTAACCTAACCTAACCTACCTTGGGTGGAGTTGCTTGAAATCAGTCATGAAAATACATCTGTGCCACACGAGTTTTGAGGACCAGCACATTGTCGTGCACAGAGTATATCTACAGTGTACTGAACAATCTCCAGCGTTCCTCCCAGATGACCTCACGTCGTCACCGGTGATAATTGTTTTATGAGGGAGGTAGTCGACCAGGAGAATTTCTTTGATATCTCAGTAAACTAAAACCATGATCTGACCTGCAGAAAGTTAACGTCTGAACTTCAAAGGAATATATAATGTGTAGATTACTGTCTGTCGTTGTCATTGTCTGGTACACGGTGTGTGGTTAACAATATGTTGTATATGGTGTGTGGTACACATTATGTGTTACGTATTATGTGGTACCTTATGTGTGTGCTACATATTATGTGGCTCTTAGGATGTGATTCTTTAACGGTGATATAGGATGGGAGGATAGGTGTGTATGGTGTCCAGTGTATGGTGAAGAGTACGTGGTAACTTATATAGTGTGTTGTTCACAGTGAATGGTACAGAGTGTGTGGTACACTGTGCGTGTGGTTTAAATAGTGTGGTTTACAGTGTATTGTCCAGTTTGTTGTATAATTTCGTTAGATTTTTTTGAGATTTTCAAACCTATACATTTCTGGAAACTACATAGTATAATCAACCAAAAAAAACAATGTTTCCATTTTTCCTGAAAGTATGTATAGCGGCCATCTTGAATTTTCAAAAGTGACCACCTGCGAAGGCATTTTTCTCAGTATTAAATTTCAGCTTCTAGACCACCCAGGGTCTTCTTGCTTACGGTCACCATGCATATTCAGGGGCAAAGAATCCAATGGTACCAGGTATAATGGGCACAACCACTTCTGGGGCTATTATGCCTTTTGTCAAACAGTTTTTATGGTATTAATGTGAACAGTCACTCTAAAAGGTAACTTTACATTTTCGTATGAGACAATATGACACAACCGACGAAGGATTTTGACAACCTTACCGAGACAACAGGAGTCATAGTGTTCATTTTGAAATTCATTGGACCCATCCATAAAAACAATTTTTGGGGGTGACTGCTCAGCACATACAAACATGAACTGTGCCTGTAAACGCCTTCTGAGCGTTTAAGGGATAATCAGACTCTTCACGTTGAACTCGAACGCTATAATTCGGTCAAACCTGTTGAATACAATTCATTCTTAGTATTTCAAATAATAAATCATACATACGCAATCATACATAATTGTTTAATCCAATATATATTCACATTACAATCATAACTATGTAATTAGTCTAATCTTAACACTTATAATGAGTACTTAATTTGCCATATTTCCATGTTGTCACAGTAATAACCGATGCAATGGACACAGTCTACCTGTGTAAACTTAGTACAGGTCACATGCCCAGCCCTGGCTGGCCGACTTTGATGCGTCAGGTGTTTATACACAAACACGCTCCCCTTTCTACCACCCAAAACCCCAACCTCCTCTGTGTCTCTCCATCTCCACCAACTCAATACTCTATATACTGGCAGGCACGCCCAATAAACATGACATGACTTACAGCCTAACATAATATTTGCTTATGGGTCATCCTACTCATTACTGCTTGCGGTAACGGTGCCAATTCTGTGGTGGTGGTGGTGTTTATAGTGATTCCCTTTGTTTTTTTAGCAGGTTCTGAAAGTTCCAGTACGTGTACATCATGAGTGACATGCCCAAACATGGTCAAGGGGCTCATCAAACCCAGGAATCCACTATCTGTTAGGAACAGTTCAAGAGAGAGCCAGTTTGCTTGGTGGCAACTATGATCCATTGCAAAATCGACTACAAGACAGCATGAAATAAAACTTCCCATAGAGAAAGTTATATGGCACCGTACTTGTTGCTCCAGTGCAACTAAAAAGGACCAGATAAAGCGTGCCATAGACCGCAAAATCCATCATTATCAACGTGGACATAAGAGAGGAAGTACCGAAATAGATGAGTCTCAACCAGAGTCACCCATATACTTCCGCTGTTCACCAGGTCGTGCACAGTGACTCAGCTGACTTCCTTGTTGAATCACAGTCAGTAAGGTCGACAACTCATGTGCCACCTCTGGGAGTAGTGGTATAGCTCCAGCTTGAGTGACAGTGTCTCTCAGGCCTCAGTAATACAAAGTAAAGTTATCTACATGGGACGGGTTCGTCTTGGTGAGTCTGATGCACCAGCGCAGTGTCTTCTTGTTAAAAAAAAATAATCGACCGACTTTTGTGTTACACGTATTATATTACAGTTTCTGTCCAGAACAGGTGGTGCTTCATTAGATCAAATTTTGGAATCATTCTGAACTGGTCAACAGGAGAATTTTTAATCCACATCAAGAGTGTGAAGACTTAAGGCATCATGCAGAGATCACCTGTTGAGTCGGGAATCAGTGGGGATGATGTGGAGGAACACAAACTACAGAAGTTGCAGCAAGAAGACCACCACCAGCAGCAGCAGCAGCAGGTGGGCCAGAAAGACCAAGAGGAGGATCAGGTGAGCAAACAGCTGCTAGAGTTGACCAACTTCGAGGACCTTATGGAAGTGGTGGGGACGAGGGGTCGATGGAACTTCTTCATCTTCTTCCTGTGTAGCTTTGGTTAGTTGATTAAAGTCTTTTTATGTCCATACTACTGCGCAAGGTCCCGTTCACACTAGGCCCCATGACACGCGCCGTGACGCTTTTGCTACATATGCTCCATCACCCAATAAGTGAGGGCAGAAGACATGGAGGCATTTCTACATCATTCTTACTTTGTCAATAGTTATTGTATTTTGAAAACTTTGGCAACAAATAACTTTCATTTGCTTCATGCATATTACATAACTTACTTCATAAGCTCATTGCTTCAAACTAAGACAATTTTGTTCTACTTTTCTGTGTTCTTAATATTAATAACCGTAACACCATAGAAGACCTGAAATTATTGTTTTGTTATACACACTTATTTATGACTACAATAATTGTAGAAATACACACGAATGCCCATGACTACATTTTACGCTATACTGCAGAAGGTAGAGCCACTAACTTGCAACGAGGATACTCACCTTCAAGTCATCATCCTTCAGCACACGGTATATGGCATCACAGGCTTCAGGCATGATGAGGCTTAAGTTCTGTTTTTATATTCTAGTAGACTACTGCAGGCTTATGTAGGAACCTCCGGAGGCAAGTGTATCCTCCAGCCGAGCTCCTGGAGAGATGATTTCACGAAGGTGAGTACCCTCGTATTAAGTGACTACCTTCTGCAGTATAGCGTAGAATGCAGTCATGGGCATTCGTGTGTAATTTAGAAAATCACTTTCACTCTCCACAACTAACTCTGAAAAAAAAAATTATTGGAAGCTTCCTCTTCCATGTCGCCAGGAAAGCCACTGCTTACACCATACAGAATTTGTTTCCTTTTTTCTCATAATATCTTCTTTCTTCACAACACAAAGCCACCACCCTCCAGAGAACATTCTCTTGTACACAGGTGTCAACATCCATACTCTCTCTCTCTCTCTTTCTCTCTGGCGCTGACCAATGACAGGCGCACTGCCACGGTTATAGTGTGGACGCTCACCTCTCTGCATCACCACACAGGCTCTGAAACAGGGCATGTCATGAGGCCTAGTGTGAACGGGCTTAAGACGGGCAGAGATTCATCTGGTCGTAGTTCTCCAAAGACATTATTTTGTGGAGGGCAACGCCTGGTGATGTTTATTGCTTGTGCTAACCCTAATTTTCTATTTTTTATTGTATGTTTTAGTTACATCTTGAGAGTAAACAGTAAAAGTAATGTATTATACCATCATTGCCCCTTTCCTGTTGAGTCACTCGATGTACTGTACAGGAAGTTACCGTCCTCTTGGCGGTAACTTCACTAAACTAAGACTTTCACTTCTGAGCCCCCACAAGCATCGTCCCGAGTGCTCATTAATGGTGATGCTGGAATTAATGGCGATGGAGGAAGATTTTGTTTTATCAATTTCGTGTAGATTAAATTTCTATATATCCATATTACTCATTTCAAAGTGATGTTTGAACACATTCATCATACAAAAGAAATAAGTGCCGTTCACATAATATTTGGAACTTGCTGAAATTTGCCTCAACTGACATTTTAGGAAACATATTGCTTTTTATTGTCAAAGTTAACAGTCTGAAGTGTGTTAAGCTGTTAGTGTTCACCTCAGTAAGTGTGTAAGTAAACTGTGTTATAACAGTGTTAACAGCTTGTTATAACAAAAACATTCTTTGATGTTTTTTTTCTTCAATTTATTCATCTACTAATCCATCTCGACACAGCTGGGTTCGCTTCTTCGTTCACTATTCTGTCTTATCAATTCCTGGGAGCGACTCCTGACCACTGGTGTCACATACAGCCCCTGGTGGAGGCTAACTGGACCCAGCAACAGGTGCTCAGCCTCGCCATCCCCTACAGGTATATCATACACACCATAATAAGGATCTTGTATATCTCACAAGACAACAAATAAAGTAAACAATCTCTCTGTGGTTGAATGTTTCCCTTCGGCCAGTGAGAGACATTCTCTGCCTGTAACAGTGCTATAGAACTGGTGGTGGTGCCACAATTAGATTCAGTTTGTCTTGGCGTAATTTTGTAAGTTTAGGTCAAGAAAAAGGTAAAACCAAAATCTAACTCTACAGTGGTGAATGTATTTCATATATTTCATATACGTTTTATAATACCCGGTATATATATATATATATATATATATATATATATATATATATATATATATATATATATATATATATATATATATATATATATATATATATATATATATAACCGGTCGGAATTACTGGACTTTAATTTCTCACTTGACTTGGGGTTTATTAAAGATTATTAGATGGTAATTGCAGTGGAAGCGCCCCTGAGTGAGAAATCCCTACTCACGACTCCTCCAACTCACCCTCGACAACCCGCAATATTCAGAAATTTCAGTGTAATTTCAAACGCCGCACCATTGGAGAGACTGAGTTCAAGGTCGTCCGAGGGAAGACCGCGCTCTCGCACGTAGCGAGAGTTTGTGGAACTAGGCCTATGTGATACTAAATGTAATTTACCGAATTAATATGGAGGTGAATTATGAAACTAAATATCAGTTATTAAATTAAAAGTAATGATAGATCGTTTATCAGTCTGAATAATGTTACGGGTGTCCCAAGAAAGTTATTAGTTAGGCGGGAAATATGTCACGTAGGCCTAAGCTAACGCCTTGAGAGGACACGAGGCTGGCTAGTCCTCAGTCACGCGAAAGCATTCGGACCAACAAGACGTCCCTGTGTGTCCGTCCACAGAAATAGTCACGTGGCCTAGTCACCTGTGTTGCGCTATTGCAGTATAACAAGTAAGTCTCATTCGATCTCAGATAGGGGTTAGATAGGGCAGTGATAGAGTTATCAAGAGCTAACAGTGAGTTAAGTTCAGGGTTTCCGTCAGAACCTACTTGACTGCGAGAGTGATGACTGAGAGAGATTGACTGCCGTTTGAGACTGCCGTTGATGATTGAGGATTGGCGATTGTCGCCGTTGGACCAATCAGTGTAGGCCTGTCACTGTTTAGCAGGGTAGCAAAGGATCTCTTGAGTGAATCTAGCCGTCTGGGTGCCCAGCTGACGATGGGACGATCGTTGGGGTCATCAGCTCTCCTCTACCTCGGCTCACAATACCACATATCTCAAGCAGCTTATTGAAACCCTTTTGCTAATGGGAAGCTAAAGCTTCTCTCAACTGTACAAGGTGTGATTGGCTCACTCCCTTCCGCTTCATGGATGTACTGGGGGTAAAGTGAAGCCAGCTGAGTGATACAGGGTCGCACACTGGGGCCAAGAGTCAGTGGAGTTTAGAGGTACACTTTCCAAGGTGGAGAAAGGCTGATTTTGGCCTTAAATCAGACCTTGTACAGTTGAGAGAGAGAGAGAGAGAGAGAGAGAGAGAGAGAGAGAGAGAGAGAGAGAGAGATATTGTTACATTTAATACTTTAGAGGAACAATGTGTTCATAATGAACTGGTGAATCATCATACTGGAACACCCTGTATGTCAATAAGTAAATTAAGCAGGGTGAGATCAGCCTCGTGTCGACAAATTTACCCAGTCTTCCTTATGCCAAATATTTAAGTTACTTTAAGCAATTAAAGCTACAAGGCCAACCACCTGCAATCCGGATTATAAATAAGTTTTGGTAGGCGAAGTTTTAACAAAAAATCTCTTTTGCAACATTCTGAGTTTACAAGATAAAGCCGTAATATTTAGTGCCTATTTGGTTGCTGATACCATTTTGTCTTCCTGTACTTGTACCTATACAAACTGGCCCTGAGTGTATTCACTTCTTAAATTTTTTATATTGTTTATTTTATATACACAATTTACGCACAGTAACGAGACAGGGAGGTACTCAGGCTGCCAGATGTACGACTACAACTACACATTAGCGGCCACGCTCGGCTACGAGGCTTCCATCAACACCAGCTTCAAGGTCGTCTCCCGAGGGTCGTCTGAAGTCGTCGCCTGCTACGAGAGAGACTTTAACCTCACCCAGTACAGGTCAACTGTTGTTACTCAGGTCAGCTCCTACTGCGAGAATGACAGTCTGTGCTGTCTGTGATAACAATATGCAAACAATTAAGTTCGTCCGTCACATAACTAGAGGAGGGTAAGAACTACAGTGTTCATACCTTCATCATTACAAGCTCTAGAGCAGTGGCTCTTAACCTGGGGACGCGCCCCCCTAGGGGGGCGTCAGTAATTTCCAGGGGGGGCGCAAGCCCTAGGGAAAAAGTAGGAATTTCTCTTATTATAATTATAGTTTTTATTCTCTTAACAAGAGCGTGGGCTAATATTGAGAAGTTTACGAAAAAATGCAAAAGTATCGCCTTATAACTTTAGTTTTCTATAGGCTACTTTTTGACTTAGGGCTTACCATTTTCTGTACTTATTGACCCCCTCCCTATCCCTCGAAACCCATGGGGGGGGGGAGTTAACTCGTCCTGGACCTGTATACTGCTCGTTGGTGACTGGTGAGCCCTGTTCTCTCCCAGTCTTCTGCACACGTCCGTGGCAATAATTCCTCTTCTCTCACATTTATTCAGTTAAAGCTGTTGAGGTATGTGTCAGGCAACAGTGTAAAAGAGGAAATGCTGTTCTGTCACCCCATGGAAAGTTGTACAACAGCAGCAGCTATTTTTCATGATGTATCAAACCTCTTTCAGGAAAACCAACTTTCGTGGGATTCACTGGTAGGGGTGTGCACTGATGGAGTTCCAGCCATGCTCGGTCTGCAGTCTGGATTCATTACAATGGTGAAAGAAAATAATCCGTCTGTTGTAGGTATACACTGCATACTTCATCGTGAATCCTTAGTATCCAGAACTTTACCTGCTGAAATGAGGGATGTCCTGAACGTGGCTATCAAGATAGTCAACTTTATCAAAGCTGGAGCCTTAAACAGTCGTCTCTTCAAACTGCTGTGTAAGGATATGGAATCTGAACATGAAACCTTGCTTTTTCACACGAACGTACGATGGCTATCAAAGGGGAACATGCTTGGACGGCTTTATGAACTACGAGAAGAAGTAGCAATATTTCTTGATTCGAAGCAGAAGGCAGATCTCCATGACAAGTTCCAGTCTGAAGGCTTTCAGCTTTCTCTAGCTTACCTGGTGGACATCTTCGAAACGTTGAATGCTCTCAACCTTAAACTACAAGGGAAAAACATCAACATCATCATGCACCACGACACCATTCGAACCTTCATGGCCAAACTCGACCTTTGGAAGTGTCGAATTCAGCAGGGAAATACAGCCAGTTTTAGTAACTTGGATTCTGCTCTCATTCACGGTTACCTTGATTCTGAGTTAAAGAAACAAATAATCACTCATCTAACTGACTTGAAAACAGAATTCATCAGATACTTCCCAGAGATAGTTGAGAAGCGTGAAGCCTGGAAATTCATCAGGAACCCATTTCAATGTGAAGTAGCTGATGTTTCGGATGAAGTGCAAGAGGAGTTTCTTGAGTTGAAGTTCAACTCCACAGCTAAGGAAGACTTCAAAGAACTGGATCTTGAGACGTTCTGGGTCAAGTACCTTCCTGTTTACCCTCTGATCTCACATCAGGCTCTTCGGATTCTAACTATGTTCGAATCCACGTATCTTTGTGAAGCTGCATTTTCCACGCTCGTTGCTGTCAAGACCAAGTACAGAAACAGGCTGAGCGTTGAAGGGGATTTACGTTGTGCACTCTGGCATTCAACCTCGCATTCAAGATCTAGTAGCTAAGAAGCAGTGTCAAGTATCTCACTAATTTATACTCAATAAAAAGACTAAAAACACAATATTTTTCATATTTCTTTAAAATCTGGGAGGGAATTTTTTTCATAGATGCAAGGGGGGCGTGGAGGGAAGGACCAATTCCTAGAGGGGGCGTGGTAGTAAAAAGGTTAAAAACCACTTCTCTAGAGAGTCTAGAGGAAGAGGCGTTTTCTGAGTTCAAAGAGTCAAATTCAACATCAAAACTCTTAAAAAACTTCCTCCTAGTGTGAGTTGTTACATCGCTCAGGTGGTATGACTCACAAACATGAATTATTAGTTTGTATTACGACCTAAAATTGTATTAATACTATTTTTATTCATGGATTTCTGTTTTTGTCACATAAAGAGAAAAGGTACGAAACAAACTTATATTTTAGGACCTTCCTCCATTACGGTTTATCACAAGGTATTTATTTAATTACATTTGCATCTATATTTTTATAACTAATTGTTTTAGTTTGCAATTCATCAGTGTTCTTTCTTTTGTCATTATTTTCATAAAGCTCAGTAAACAGTAGCTTATTGTTGTGTACAGTGGGACTTGGTGTGTGAACGACGCTTCCTCTACTCTACCGTGACGGCGACCTCCCAACTGGGCTTCCTCCTTGGTGCCCTCGTGACTGGCTATCTCATGGACCAGTGAGTGTCTTTTTTTACCCTCTTATTTTATATATGTATATATATATATATATATATATATATATATATATATATATATATATATATATATATATATATATATATATATATATATATGTGTGTGTGTGTGTGTGTGTGTGTGTGTGTGTGTTTGTGTAATAGGCTAATAATTAACGGTTTATTGTAAAAGTTCAACGGCCCGGAGGTTGAAATTATACAAAGGACAAAAATGATTTGTTACATACATTAACATGAGGAGGAGGGGTGGGGGGACAAAATTTTCATTAGAGAAAGGAAAAGGAACATGAAGTGAGCATGCAAATTAATGTTTACATGAGTGGTCAAAAAATTCAACAAAATTGATGTCTGATGAATAGGTAACCCCTGGAGTCGCTCAAAACATTAACTTAACCTTATCTTCCAACTCACTCCGCTAGTTGTATCTCCAACTCTACCTCACACTTGACCGACAGGTACGGTCGTCGGCCCGTGTCGCTAGGGAGTTTGGTAACGACAATGGTTCTGGGTTTATTAGGGTGTTTCTCGCCCAACATCTATGCCTTCATTGCCCTAAGGCTGGTCGTCTCCATGGGTGATCTAGGTCTCTACTGCACCAACTTCATTATCAGTAAGTAAAGTTCTTCTTCTTCTTCTTCTTGTAAAAAGTAACGTTACACTAACGTCTATATACAGTAGAAAAGTCAGTTGGAAAAATATATATTTTGATTCAAATTTGCGATTAGAAAAGTTTAAACTCTTTACGATTTTGTTTCAAAATATCTTTCTAGAGACTGGTGCTGCTGACGAAAGATGGCGCTCACTCATTAACCTTAACCAGATCATTCCTATCACCGTTCTCCTCTGATCTCCTTAGGGATTAGTGGCCCTTTCAGATTTCAAGAACATATATCTCTGCAAAAATAATCACTGGTCTGCGTAATTTTTGAGGTCAAGGTTTTCTCAGCGGTTCTTATATGCTTTTTGCATGCTGAATTCAGAAATGTAACTCATTGTGCTCAATCACGTCAGGTTTTTATGCTATCTCTTAATCAGATTTACAAGAACATACACATAAAATACACAAATCTGCAAAAACGGCTTTCGCAAAGATTTTCGTCTGTGTTCTGCATCTGTAACGTCTCTCTTGAGGCACCAGCAGTAGTCCACGAGCACGTTCACATCCCAGCGGCCCTGGTACCTCTCTTCCATCACTTGACTATCCTGGTGAAAGCGCTCTCCTTCCTCCTTACTGACATCACCTCAGTTTTCCGGAAAGTAGTCTAAACGCGAGCTGAGAAAATGCATCTTTATGGACATGCGTGCACTAAGTGCATGGAAGCTCTGCAGGAGCTCCTCGACAACACGTTCGTACTCTGGACTGCGGTGGTTGCCCAGAAAGTTCGTTACAATGGACTTGAATGTGAGCCAGGCATTCCTCTCATTGTCCTCCATACTTTCATTGAGTTTAGGATCTTTCATAAGCTCCCTGATCTGAGGGCCATAAAAAATACCTGCTTTCAGTTTGGCCTCACGCGTGGAAATTTCAGATTCAGGAAAGCGCATGTCCATAAATATGCATTTTCTCAGCTCGCATTTAGACTTTTTTCCGGAAAACTGAGGTGATGTCAGTAAGGAGGAAGGAGAGCGCTTTCACCAGGATAGTCAAGTGATGGAAGAGAGGTACCAGGGCCGCTGGGATGTGAACGTGCTCGTGGACTACTGCTGGTGCCTCAAGAGAGACGTTACAGATGCAGAACACAGACGAAAATCTTTGCAAAAGCCGTTTATTCCGGAACACCAGGTGTCTCTAAAAATGCCGAACTGAGATAGGACGTGATTCTACAAATTTCATATGCTGAGTGAAGAAAAAAAATTCAAATGCAGCCCAGGTTATATTCAGTATTGAGTTTATTTGCCACTTTGATAATTTTCAGTGGTGGAGTTGTGTTCATCGTCAACTCGATCAACCTTCAGTGTGCTGTTCGCGGTTCCGTGGGCTGTGGGGTACATGATGCTCCCTGGCGTCGCCTACCTGGTGAGGGACTGGCAGTGGCTCAATACGGCCCTCTTCCTTCCTTATATAGTCAAGCTCCTTGATTTCTGGTGAGTGATTTTTATGCACAAAAGTCTCATTATTAGGTAAGCAATTTATGGTTCAGTGTCCAGGGAAAATCTTCGTCTGGGCAGCTTACATTAGTCCACCCAAGGCTTCTATAGACTTGAGTGTATCATTGCGTGGCGGAGCAAAATCGCTACTACGGGCAGACTACGGGAAAAACATTCGTCTCGAGTAAATTCCATAAACGTGTCATCAAGGGTTGTAGAGTAACATTACACCACACGTTACCAATGTACTCGTAATAGCGCTGCTTTTATGGTACGAACACCAGACACATAAACTCATAGACTACTGTATTTTGTTGGATTTACCTTACTGGCCTTCAGTACAGAGCTGTGTCTCATTTCTGTTCACCAAGTCGAAATATGCAAGCACAGTCAATTCATTCGCTACCTTTTATCCATAATTTCTCGTGTCATCTGTAAGTTTTACTGTAGAGATGTTAACAGACATGCCGACGGGATCATTCTTTATGGAAAATACATAATCTCACTGTAATGTTTCTCCCTCAGGCTGCTGCCAGAGTCACCCCGTTGGCTAATAATTCACAACCGCGATCTCGAAGCTGTAGAGGTCCTCACTCAGGCTGCTAAGGTCAACAAGAAAACTTTACCTCCTAGACACGCTCTCATGGATGCCATCAGCAGCATCAGGGACCAGGTGACCAGGATATAGACCTAGATGAAGTAAACACATTCAGAAATAGCAATCAGTTTACAAACTTAATTAGAAGTACCAGTATAATAATTTCCACGGTATGAAAGTACAGGGTATTATAAAAGTGGTGCTTTAACTTATATATCTCAAATCTACCGGGCATATTGATATAATTTTAAAGTACAGGTACATTAAACTATGGAACTATAATAATAAATGAGCGTGTGTGTGTGTGTGTGTATGTGTGTGTGTGTGTGTGTGACCTTGGTAGGTATAAGGCTACGGGAGTAAACCCCGAACAAAAAATCTGCGGTGGAGCCCCGCATCAGGCAGACATGCTTACAGAGCTCCAAAAAGACCCCAACGGCGGTATAGGCGGAAGAGTACCATGGGAACCCAACGCTACACCGGCGGACGAAGGCAATGCATGATGGACAGCCTACTAAGGGAAAACCCAACAAACTGGACTATCGGCAGTCCATTGTAATTCTCCTTCTCCCCAGTCGTTGCAACTAATTGCACCACTGGATCAGGAAAAGGGAGAGCCAAGATGCGTGGTTGCAGCCTGCGCCCCTGCCTCACCACATAAATCAACTCAAGTGCAACCATCATGCATCTCATCATAAATCTCAACATCATCAAAACCCCTATACCCCAAAAGTTGTATGGGGATGGGCTAGTGGCGACGGGGACAGACAGAGGTGACTGCCGGGAGTCTCGAGTCACAACTCTGCATATGGGCGGCACAGATAACATGATCGTTTATGCACTGGGATCTAGGCAGCACTGCAATCCGGTCTTTTCAACATAAAACGACTCCAGGCAGGAATAAAGATGTCGGCAGGTTCCACTACTGAACTTCAGTTTGAAGATGAACTTACCCTTGTCGCTCACATTGAATGTGACCTAGAGGAGACCCTGAACACTTACGCAGATGCGTATGCACACTTCGACCTTTAGCTGAATGTACGTAAGACTCAGACTCTCTTTCAGCCTACCTCATGTTCAGACACACCTCCACCATCCATCCAGCTTAACGTTTACTACCCTCTCTAATGTTGGCCACTTTTGGTATCTCGACTCCCACCTGTCCACCATCGATGACATCGATGAAGAGATTCAACATCGGATCCGATGTGTATCTCAAGCCTTTGGCAGACTCCGAAGCCGTGTCTTCAGCTGTAGGGAGCTGAAATTATCTCCAAAGTTACACGTATATTGTGAAGTGGTCCTCCCCACCCTGCTCTACGGCTTGAGACATGGGTCACATACAGGAGGCACCTCAAGGCACTTGAAAACTTTCACCAACGTAGTCTACGTTCCATCCTCTGAGTTCGCTGGAAAGCCAGTATTCTTGCTGACAACAATTGTAGGAGCATCGAGGTTACAATTATCCATGAACAACAACGCTGGACTGGCAGGTTACCCGCATGGGCGACAGTAGACTGCCAAAGCAGCTACTCTACAGTCACCTAACGAATAGTAAGCATAACGCGGGAGGGCAACTGAACAGGTATAAGGATAGTTTTAAGACAAACCTGAAAAAGTTCCAAATCTACCCCCTCACCTGGGAGACGATTACTCCACACCGTAACGCTTGAAGGAGCACCACACGAGAAGGTCTCAATACTTTCGAGTTAGCCCCACTGATAGGTAGTAGGTATTAGGCAACTACCAAACAGGGAGATACCACCGCCTGAGAAGATATTGGGAGCATAATGTGTTGTCTATAGTAAACCCTGCTGCCACATGGCATCACGAAAATTGTGACCCCCCGGTTGCTGATCTGACTTTTTGCCTCATTTACACACAACTGCAGGGTCTCAATTGTTTCTCTTACTATTGACAACACAACATACATATATTGTTTCTCATTTTTTATTTTTTTTTCATTTTTTATTTTTTTATGGTTCTTTATTATTATTATTATTATTATTATTATTATTATTATTATTATTATTATTATTATTATTATTATTATTATTATTATTATTATTATTATTAATATTATTATTATCATTATTATTAATATTATTATTATTATTATTATCATTACTATTATTATTATTATTATTATTTGTATTATTATTATTACATTTTCGCCCCCCAGGCCCCGATGTGGGTGAGTGACCTGTGCCTGGGTGGGCTAATCCCCGTAAAATAAATAAATAAATAAATAAATAAATAAATAAAAAAAAATACCGAGGCAGACAAGCGTCAACGCCAGAAAGACACTGCCGCCGCCCCCGCACTAGTTGTAGCCCCCCACAAATGCAACACCTGAGAACGACCCTGCCGGTCCTCTCAGAACTTACCAATGTAGGTGACATCCTTAATAACTCATACCCTGACCAATAACCTGTTGCCATATTATTTCGTTTGAAAATCTACTTTACTTTATCCTTCTCACCACTTGTCGGCTTTTTAGCCGCTTGGACGGTTTGTCATATCTCTGTATGTACTGTTGGCAAGTACTGGGCATGTACTGACTCCAGAATATGTCTGTACTTATGCCAGTGCTGATCAAGTCTGGTAATAATTGCATTCACACTCGGTGCCGCCACAACGCTTTCTGTCAGATTGTTCCAAGAGTTCACAACTTTCACTCCCAAAAAGTTGTCCTCGACAATTTTCTGAACTTGTGGCTTCTTCAACATTAGGCTGTGGGCCCTAGTGGGGCAGGCATCCGTCAGTTCATGGTTGTTATTATAATGTTATTACTGCTCTTCAATAACTAAGGTATTTAAGCAGATAACAAGGTTACTAATACACTATTCCACCACAATTAAAATCTTAGAGAAATAGAATTCTTCAGTCCCAGGTATATGCACTTGACTGGGTACTATAATGTCCTCGGAGGTGTTTATTGTTCTTACAATGTTCTTATGAAAAATTGTTTTGGGATTTATTAATTAATTTATATTACTACTTCACAAAATGCATTCCACCTCGAAACACTAGAAGCGGCTATATTATTCTGAAGATTCAAAGATGTAAACAAAGCAGACGACAGCTGGTCACAGTGGCCCCACCACACACTAGAGGGAGCAACTAAAACTCTTACCAGGTATCGCTATTAAGCTAAATTGGCATTGCACTATTCTGAGGAAGTTATACTTCCTTGCTTTAAGCCAGGGGTCACCAAACTACGGCCCGCGACGTCAGTTCATCAGGCCCGCCGACGGTACTTGAATTTGCTTGATAAAACGTATGGAACACCAGACGTTGTGATACAATTTAAATTTAAATATTATGCGGCCCGCGCTCGTCATTCTTTCAGTTATCCGGCCCACTGTGAAAAAAGTTTGGTGACCCCTGTTTAAGCGGAGAGAAAGTGGGATACACAATCACATGTGCTTCTTCAGCTGATATACAATTTTGTCTCATTTTACCACCCACTTCCAGATGTGTCACAAAGAGGAAAGTGAGGCGATGATGACCATTACCATGAAGGTGCTGACGACGGTGAAGAAGTTGTTCTTCACCCTGACGGAGGAGCTGAGGAGGAGGATGCTCATCCTGGTTGTATGTTGGCTCGTCGTGTCCATGGTGTACTATGGGTTGGCTCTCAGCGCTACCAATTTGAGGTGAGGAGGACCTGGTTTACGTCTAGAAGTCTTCGTTTTAGTCCGTTTTTTTATGTATTTTTGTTAATTTGGGGCGGGGAGGGGGGGGTGGGGGATTTGCTAAACTATACATTTTAGCAATCGTTGTGATGTAGAAGTTAGGAAAACAAATCTTAACATTTATATTTTTCAAGCTCTATTGCGCCTATCTTGGAATTTCAAAATTGCGACTATTAAAACAGTTTTCCCCCTACCTTTGTTTCTAAACCATGTAGATGGCTACTTTTGGTGGTAAAACATACATTTTAAGCAATCAGGAATCCACTGAAATTAAGAAAATCAATTGGGGGTATTGCAAACTAAGATAGCTAGATTTTTAACTCTGCGAGCCATAAAAGTGAGTTGAACAGTTTGATCCACTTCTAAAACTTTGGATCTTGGAAATGTTATTACTCCAATACCTTTTGTTGAATAATAACTTCGCATGTTTCTTCTACTTTTTAACCAATTTGGGATTTTTTTAAACAACATGGGAACGGCTATTTGCTGGGGCGTCACGGTTCTATCATTTTATCACACAACTGCCAATAACGCAAATAAATATAATTAAATTGTGTCTCTACTTGTGATCAGCAACTTGGAACCTCTTTCAAACATTCTACATGTAACTTTATCGTGAACAATGGTCCACTTTATGACTGGCATCGTAATTTTTATCTCAGTCATCATTTTCACGGTCACTGCCGTCCGAAAACGGGTTTTCATAACGTGAGCCTTCATCATTCTCACACTGTGTAGCGCACATGGAGAGGTCGTGCACTGTAGGTTCTTTGCACTGCAGGAATATCTTTGCGAGGAACAATTTTCCCTTGCACTGGCATCTCACTATCTTGATAATGGCCATGGGTGCAGGGAGAACATTGGTGGTAGTCAGCCTCAGCTGGCCACCGTTGTCCTTATAGTAGCCATTCTGCAATGGATCCACTGGAATTTGCTGCAGAGTGTCTGCCTGGCTCCAAACTCGAGCCAATTCATGTACCCTCAGAATGTGCTGCTTAAGGGTGCCCTCTGTAGGTGTAGCTTATCACTCTCCGCCATGTACTTGCAGAAAATGTGCCATCGCAACTCTGGAATGTTTCTTATTTGAATTCCTTTTGGGCAATAGGCTGCACACACAACCCTAGCCAAGTTTGTCTGCTGCTCTTCGTTACTTTAGAGTCATCAGAAATCATCCGCAAGGCTTCAGTGATGTCATTCTCAGCTTCACTGAAGATCTTGAACCATGTAGCCTTGCCCACTCTTGCAAACCTTCCAGTCTTTTCAGCACCAGGGAAGGCATGGAATGCAAATAAGGCTTTCGCCTGTTCTGTACCTAGAACACCCCAAAGAGGTTGGATGTGCAGAACATTCTTTGCCATTGAGATGTTGATGCGTGCTCTTTGGCAACAAATCGTAGCTGGCTATGGTAAAGACCAGGACATCTGTGTCAAGCGAGGAAAATGTTAGATGTACAGTCAACAACAAAAAATTCTGTACCTTTATGGTGTTATACAATATGACACACCGGACCAATAATTCTGAACAACACTCATTTACGCGGGTGATTCCTGTTAATTTCTCTGTATTATCTATATGTGATATAAAAAAATACATCATACTGGTTATACAATGCATCACACAACCAGCAATACCAACCTTACCAAATTAACACGGCCTCAGTCAGTGATCGTTGCCCATCAGACCTAGGGGTGCAGAACGTTTTTTTTTGCTGACTGTACATCTCCTGAGTTTCACCTTGTTGTAGGTACTGCAAGACGTATCATCACGGTGTCAGCGCCTTCATGGTTGTTTTCAAGGCTCCCGACATCGTTGTTGCTCTTGGTTCAAGCGGATGCTGAAGTGATGACCAGCTAGGAGGAACTTCCACTGCAGTCCAGAGTCTTTTCTGCCAAATATTCTATCAATCATCTTTGGTCTTGTCATGCGATAAGAATCTGCTCATCGCTATGTGCTTGTTGCTTGTCTCATCCCTGACTTGGTATTAGACTGGATCCTTTCGCTGGCGTCTCTTCTGTCTGGTTGTAGTCTTCTAGGAATCAGACTTGTATGTGTCAAACGCGAGAATAACCTCATTAAAGCTCTGCTTGAGATTCATCAGTCTTTCATAGAAAACCTGGCTGAGATCTCTCACTGCAACCAATGTCATTGGTTTCTTAGATAGCTTCAGGAGAAGTACCATTCCATCTACGACCGCAATTTTCTTGCTGTGATGGTTATCGTCCACTTAAATGGATTCCTCATCAGTCATTGACTACCCTCCCTCAGATACTAACTTCTCAATGACATGAACGAGCTTGGCCTTCTCGCTACATGTCAGCACTGATCCTTTGGGAGCATAGAGTAACCTTGGCGTCAAGGAAAACTCGTAGTTTCCAATAGCTTCCTCCTGCTCCAAGACTCGGTTTGACATGGCCAGGACCATAAGTCTAACGTACAAATCTTTTGTTTCCTTCATGTCAATGGTCTGGTCACGAATCTTGACTGCATGTCTCTTGTTGCCAGATGTGAACATACTATTGTTTTGTCTCTTCACTGGTGCCCAGAGGCTGGCATTCCCATTGATTCTCTCAGTAACATATTCTTCATACAATTTCTGCCCTGTGTCATCCACGTTAAGGATCTGTGGCACATACTCATCTGAGATATATGCATGGGCGACCACTAAGACTTTGAAAAAAAAATAAAGCTTTTTTTAAGTTCAGTACACCCTAACCTTTTGAAAAATATATAGGTTACCGAATCACCAAAAAATAAGAACGAAGCTTCCAGTCAGTACATTGTAAATTAGACTATTTATATTGATGGTATTTTTGTGGGTGGCGACTTAAATGGCCTCCATTTATAATATACCCTATAGCCTTCAAAGACCACAACCTAGATCTCCAGGTGTAATGGTCCCAAACCTTATGAGTCCTATACATATTGAACCCCTGTCTTAGTGGTTAAGGTGGGGCCTGTCTGGATTGGGATCAATTTGACCTGCAGCCATTTTATGAATCAAATTAGATTATGACATTGAGTCAGAGATAGTAATTAACATTAGTGATGATGCCTGATTTACTATCATAAAAATGTTATTATTTACTTTATGAAGCTATATTATTTCGGTTCATAAAGCCGTAGAAGTCAAATATATTATTGTAGTATAAAGAGGCTTAAGTTACCTTCACCATTATTATTTAATTTTATAAGAATACACTTCTTGAATGTATCAATCTGCTTAACTAACTTTATGAAGCTACTTTTAAAGGTCCGTCAGTTAACTCTACAAAACTACATCAACTGGAACTTTCCAAACCCCACACCAATTATCTCTTTCTAAAGCTGCTCAAATTAATAGCTTCCTTTTATGCCTGCACAGCACAAACTAATACCTATATATCCCCAGTTTATGCACATAACGAAGCTACATAAGTTAAGACATGCCCTCTTTGTAATTATTAAGACATGCCCTCTTTGTACTAAAGTTCAGGGGGGATTCTGTATCTCTGCAAAACTGCATCAATTAATCTTATAAAATTACAAAAGTTAGCTTGCCGTTTTCTGGGTATTCTCAGCGCGGACCCGTACCTGTATATTTTCCTGGGCGGGGTTACGGAGATCCCGTCCTACCTGATAATGTGGCTGTGCTTCCTATACCTGGGTCGTAGAAGCACCCTGGCCGCCCTCTACCTCCTGTGTGCTGTGTGTCTCAGTATCAACGTACTTCTCGTGGTTTCCACTTATCGTAAGTCACTTTTTCTCTCGTTCCTACTTTTAAGATAGACTCATGCACATAACAATAAGTCCTCTGAAGAACAATGTCAGACAAAGGACTCTCAGTCGTTGAATTGAATTGAATTGAAACAGTTTATTTAGCCAGAAAAACACTGATACAGAGTGGATAATAATAACAATATTAACATGGCTGAGCCAGTTGAGAACCTGAGTAATATGTAACATTTAGTATCATCTGGAATAGTTCAATAGCATGGTGGTAATAAGAACATCTCATAATGTTACCACGGTTATCACTCAATATTTATTTATCTTATTTATTTATTATTTTGTTTAATTATATTTTATATATTTATATTATAAGTATACACATAAATTACAATGGAATTGAAAAACTTAAGTATAATGGGGAAGCAGTACAACCTGGGTTGTACAGTATTAAGGTTGAACAAGTGGACAGAGCTGTCAGGATTATGTCTAGTTGGTAAATATGTTTATGCAATGGTAATTTCTTATCTATTTACAGGATAATTTCCGATAAAACGGTTTTGATGGTACAATTAAAGCAGGTACTGTAAATATAGTAGGTATTACATGAAATATTAATACTTAGACACTAAATTTTTTTTATGAGATGATTTAAAGGAAGGGAGCGTAGTAGTTTGTCTGCTTACTTAGTGAACCATGGAAAAAAGTTTGAAGACATATTTTCAGCTGACTGTGTGTGTGTGTGTGTGTGTGTGTGTGTGTGTGTGTTCTTGTCTGTGTGTGTGTGTGTGTTCTTGTCTGTGTGTGTGTGTGTGTGTGTGTGTGTGTGTGTGTGTGTGTTCTTGTCTGTGTGTGTGTGTGTGCACAGGGTGGTGTAATGCGTCCAGTGTGGCAGCATTATGTTAGTATTAAAGTGCAAGCACTGCTTGCTTCCTCTCGCTTTCAGCTACCGCTGCTGGCTAGCCCTCGTGGTGAACAAGGAAGCAACCTTGCGTAAGTAACTGGGTGCCTCGTGGGCCAAAGCTAGACCAGCAGGGGATCTCAGAGTAGCAGTGGGCCCTAGAGGTATGGTGCAGAGGCCCACTGGCAGTTGGACACGTCCTAGCGCCTACCAACCATTTACCCGCTGCCTTGCGGAATAACCTTAGTAAGTATAAGGCTACGGGAGGAAACCCCAAACGAAAATCTGGCAGATATGCTTACAGAGCTCCAACAAGTCCTCAATGGTTGTATAGGCGGAATATGTGACCACCATGGGAACCCAACGACTACACCTGCGGATGAACGCAATGCAAGATGGACAGGCTACTCAGGCTAAACCCAACAAACTGGGCTATTGGCAGTCCATTGCAACTCTCTCGCTCTCCCCAGTCGTTGCAACTACTTGCATCACTGGATAGGGAAAAGGGAGAACCAAGATGTGGGGCTTACAGCCTGTGCTTCTACCTCACCACACCCTTAACACACGCACAGCCACCATCTAGCTCATCGTACTTCACATCATCATCAAAATCCCTATACCCCAAAAAGTCCTACATGGGCGGCATATATAAGATAATCGTTTATGCACTGGGGAAATAGGCAGCAGTGCAATCAGGTACTGTCTGTGCGAAGAGCCACTCTGCTCACCCCACTTGGGGAGAGGGCTAGAAAGGGTGCCATAAACATAGGCTGCCTAAAAAACCAACCTGACTGGGCAATCCCACCCAGTAAGGTCATCCTTTTGCAGTTGAAAACTTAATCATAACCACAGATCAGAGCAAACACAAACAATACCACTTCTTTTGGTCGCTGCATGGAATGTCAGGACCCTTCTGGATACTGGCACAAATGAGTGTCCTGAAAGAAGAGCCGCCCTTGTGGTAAAAGAGTTGGCTAGATATAACATTGACAAGCAGCCATTAGTGAGTCTCAGCTCCCAGACGAGGGTCGACTCACAGAACAGGGGTCTGGCTATACCTTCTTCTGGAAGGGTAAGCCTGGTACCATTCGCTAATCCATCCTGCATAGGCTAACTGAAATGCCTGTTGGGACCAACGAGCGCCCCATGACGCTCCGATTCCCACTGAATTACTCACGTCATGCCTTCTTCAGCAGTACAAACGCCCCAACACTGGATGCAGATGATGATATCAAGGAGGCAATTATGCCTACCTTGACAGAATGCTAATTCCTGACATATGGTAAGGAGCCATAGGGAGAAACAGAGTAGGCAAGTGTAATCCCAACGGCTACTCCTCCTCAGCAAGTGCGCTGAACACAACCTCACTACCACCAACACCTTCTTTAGGTAGGTCGACAAGTTCAAGGATTCTTGGCAACACCCACCATCCAAACATTGGCATCTCATTGACTACATTATTGTCAGAAAAAGAGATCTCCGAGATGTCCGCATCACCCGAGTCATGCGTGACTGAGACCATTGTGACACAGATCATCAGCTCTTCAGAGCCAAACTCTCCCTTCACGTCTCCCCAAAACGGCGAAGGCCACGAACCTCCAGAAGAGTCTTTAACACCGAACGACTGGAGCATCAAGTGGTAGCACAAGCTTTCAGAGAGCAGCTGAACGAGGGACTAATAACCAACCCGACAACAAACAACCCAAATCCTAGTGTCGAATGGGGTCCCATCAAAGCTGTCATCACAAAAACCTGCAACGAGACACTCAGCCAGATCAAAAGAAAACACCAGGATTGGTTTGATGAAAACGACCCGGAAATTGAAGTACTCATCAGTAGTAAACGTGCTGCTCACACTGAATGGCAGAACTTCCATAAGTTTGGAAAAAAGCTGATACTTTACACGAAAAGAAAGCGGCGGTCCAGCGCAAACCTTGCAAACTGGTGAAAGATTGGTGGAAAAATATAGCGTGTGAAATGCAAAAAATTGCTATGAATTATTATAATTTTATTTTTAATTTGTTTTTTTATTATACTTTTTTTAATATGAATTATTATTATTACATTTTCGCCCCCCAGGCCCTGATGTGGGTCACTGACCTGTGCCCGGGTGGGCTAATCCCAATAAAAAAAACCTCACTAATTAAAGACGAAAGAGGCATACGTCAGAGCTGGAAAGAGCATTACCATTCGCCGCTCAACCCAAATACCGATGTTTATGTCCTGACTACCCAGCAGGACCCTCACCACCCAGAAGTTACCCAATTCAGTTATCCTCCACCCCTGGATGAAGTAGCTACTGCTATTAAGCAGATGAAAAATAACTAAGTCACAGGGCCTTATGGAATTCCAGTCGAGGTGTATATATAGCAGGAGGACCTCTGCTTACCAGCTGTCTCCTCTCTCTCCTGGAGAACATATGAGAGAAAGAGGAAATCCCAAAATATCTTAAAGACGTTAATATTTATTTGAACAAGAGAGGCCGGTCAGACTGTGGCAACTATAGCGGGATCTCATTGCTGTTCGTAGCTGGCAAGATTTTCGCCCAAGCCCTCTTACACAGACTAATTCCTGAGGCGAAAAATTCCTTTCAGAATCCCAATGTGGCTTTAGACCATCACGTGGCACCACTGACTTGATCTATGTTGTCCACTAGATACAGGAAAGATGCAGAGAACAGCGTCGTGACTTGTGCATGGCCTTCATTGACTTTACTAAGGCCTTCGACTCGGTCAACAGGGAAGCCCTTTGGCGGACCCTCAGTCGTTTTGGCTGTCCACCAAAATTCATTGCCATTGTGAGGCAACTCCAGGATAGCATGAACGGCAATCGCCTACACAGTGGTACCTAGTCTGAGTTCTTCTCCACCTAAACGGGTTCAAAACAAAGCTGCTTACTGGCACCAACTCACTTTTCCATTGTCTTGGCTGCCTTCCTTATTCGTGCCAGTGCCAATTTAGCTGACGGGGTGGACATCCAGTACCAGATAAAGGGATTTCTTAATATAACACGACTCCAGACAGGAACGAAGGTGTCGGCAGCTTTCATCACTGAACTTTAGTATGCAGACGACCTAACCCTCTTTGCTCACACTTAATGCCAACCACCAAAAGATCCAGAAGACCGATGCAGATGCGTATGCACACTTCGGCCTTGAGGTAAATGCATGTAAAATTCAGATTTTCTTTCAGCCTGCCCCTGGTTCAACCACACCTCCACCATCCAACCACCTTAACAGTACTACTCTCTCTAATGTTACCCACTTCCAGTACCTTGGCTCACACCTGTCCACCACCGCAGACATCATTGAAGACAGTCAACATCGGATCAGATGTGCATCTCAAGCCCTTGGCAGACTCCGTACCCGTATCTTGAGCCGTAAAGAGCTGGAATTATATACAAAGTTGCAAGTATATAGAGTAGTGGTCCTTCCCACCCTGCTGTATGGCAGCGAGACATGGGTCACTTACAGGAGGCACCTCAAGACACTTGAAAACTTTCACCAACGTAGTCCTACGTTCCATTCTCCGAGTTCGTTGGGAAGAGAAGAGCACAAATGCCAGTATTCTTGCCGACACCAACTGTAGGAGCAGCGAGGCTACCATTATCCATGAACAACTACGTTGGACTGGCCATGTTACCCGCATGGACGACAGTAGACTGCCAAAGCAGCTATTTTACAGTCACCTAACGAATGGTAAACGTAACGCTGGCGGACAACGGAAACGGAATAAGGATATTCTTAAGATAAACCTGAATAAGTGCCAAATAGACCTCCTCACCTGGGAGACGATCCCTCCACACCGTACCTCTTGGAGGAATTCCACACAAAAAGGTGTCAATACTTTCGAGTTAGCCCGACTGCATACCGAGGCAGACAAGTATCAGAGCCGGAAAGACGATGTCGCCACCCCTCTCGCACTAGCTGTAGCCCTCCACACGTGCAACATCTCTGGACGGTGCTGCTGATCCCATATCGGCCTCTTGAGTCACCTCACAACTCATACCATTGTATCGTCACTGGATGATCGTCATACTTGATTCCGAGTGACAGCTAAGTAGTGAGTAACAGTAGTAGTAGTGTGTGTGTGTGTGTGTGTGTGTGCTTTGTTTCACGCTTATTCGAAATAATCACCCGATCATGTTTTTGCCTGCCAGACAAGGGCAACTTCTTGTTTATATTTTTATAAGTTGAAAGAAATTAGAACAAATATTATAGAATTTGCTCAACTTCATATGAACATTTATATCATGTCTCAGTCATTCCAATGTGCTCTCTCGTCTTGAAAAGAAAAAGTGATTTATCCTCTCCATCATGCTCTCAACCCAGGCTCTCATCTCAATCATCTCAAATCATGGAATCTATAATCAACTGATAACTACTTAAAGCCCGTATGACCAGTAGGTAACTAATCCGCTTCACTGTTATATTCCCTCAGAAACGCCAGTAGGTGCCAAGATCTTCCTGTCTCTCCTAGGGAAGATAGGTATCGCTGCAGCCTTCCATCTGTTGTATATTTATACGGCTGAGCTCTTCCCTACTGAGTGTCGCTCCGTCGCCCTCGGCGAGTGTAACTTCATCGGGCGAATCGGTAGTATCACTTCGCCTTACATCAATGATATTATGGTGAGCTTGCATTTGAGCTTTATGTGTGTGTGTGAATATTTTTCACTCTTATCTATCCTTTAACGTTAACATCACCTCAGTAGGCTCTTCACATAGTCTAATGCCCGTTGTCCACCTTTAGAGCATATTAGAGTCTGCGGGTAGCCCGTATTAAATAATGAGAAAGTTCCGAATCGACTGCCACTGCCCTTGGCACGGGTCTGGGCGTCGCCGCGGTGGAGTCAAGGCGAGAATTATAGTCTGAGCATCAGTATTAGTGGTGGATGTATGTTGGAGCATAAGTGATCATACGTGAGTACAGACATAGTTTCACTGACTCTAAACACTCTAGCTTGTTGTTTAAGTGTATGAAATATTATTGTATTTATTTTGCCACTGAGTTGCTGTCTTAATACGCGTATCAGAATCACGTTTCTCTTCTCTAGGTGTGTGCCACCTTGTTGTTAAGTCATCTTGTCGACTGTATGTTCCTTCTTCATGGAATATATCTGTGACTAATTCTATCTCTGGTAGGCCACGCCTGTTATTTCCCTATAAATAACAAATAGTATTGGGACATTTGGGGACTATTGTGCGTTTTGTGTGTATTTGTCAAGGGTACAAGCACCATTGTCACAAGAATAAAGTTGTCTGGTGTTCATCGGCTTTCATTTCGCCCAACAGAAAAAATCCCCTGCTACACCCCTGTCCGTCAACGAACCTTGACATGTTATTCCAGTTTATACATTCGCACCTTCCCGAGTTTGTACATCTCAGTCATGTTTTCATTATTACCCACACGTTAAGGCAGAGGGTTTTTCTCCAAATATAATTCTTGTTTCTCTCTCTCTCTTCAGGGGGAGTTTTCGTCTTGGTCTCCGGCAGCGTTGTTCGCTGGGACTTCCCTTGTGGGTGCCGTCCTCTGTCTCTTCCTTCCGGAGACAAGAGGTCGAGTCCTGCAAGAGTAAAAGCCGCCTGGAAATCCGACACATTGCCAGAACCTCCCAATACTCCTTCGCCGCCACATAGTGCAAATATAGCGACAAAATTATAACGTAACATTCTTTATAAGTCGAGTTCTCCCTGAATCAAACTTTGATAAGGACCAACACACTGGTCTAGGATAACAACGGTCGACGGCCCCTGTGACGTGAAGTCTAACATATTATTGTAACATGTTATGATGAAGTTTAATTGAGTTTAAGGCTCATGTTTTAAAAAGAACTAGTACAGTTATTTATATGCATTGATTGCGGAATGATAGGAATTTCTAATGATGTCACCTTTATTGATGAACCCTATGGTGGCTCGATAGGTCAATATAGGATCGATAGGTTTATCCACAGATGTTGCATGTGTGGAAGCCTGTATTAGCCTCTGTCACATTTATATTATATAAATACGAGCTAATGACATATATTCATTAAATACATTCTATCACCCAGACTATTGAGGATACAGCTTCATAAGCATTTGTTCTTTCACACCTTCTCTGGTGTACAGCTCATAAAAATACAGACTCAACCCTCAGTATGTGGGTAGGCTGTTTAGTTAATGGCCGTGTTTAAGTGTGGTTACTCTCCAACCACCAATCACCAGACTCAAGAGAGTTCAGCCCAGTTCTCACCAGTTCACAGCTTGACACGATGCCCTAACGTCGTGTCGTGAGACCAGCTCTCTCGGCTGTACCTCTCTCTAAATATATCAGCTAATTACAAGCTAATAGCTAATGCTCATTAGTCTGTCAATACCAAATAATTGTACAGAGATTACTACCCAATATAACTAGAAAATCACCACGTGTGTTTACATTACACCAAGGAACAACGAGTGAAGAGAACATTACCTGTGTGTCTTGTTTAATTTACAAGCTAAAAAATTACACGTACAACCCAGGACAGCTGTGACGATTTCAACTATCAACCAATCTAAGACTGTATCAAAGGTGACATGCCGTGAGATTACCTGATATCTCACTCAGCTGCATCAAAGGTACCAGCGACGAACCTACACTCATTCAGGCACATGTTAACAGGTGAGATAGTTTGATATCCTATCACAGCTAAAACAGGGCTACATTTAGTGCTGGCGCTTGTCTGTCTCAACATAAAGTTAAGATAACTTACAATTTCTAATGCTCTCTCGTGTGGTACTTCTCCAAACGTCGCTCTGTGGGGTGATCGTCTCCAAGGTTTGTCGTCAGAATATTCTTGTATCGTTTCTGTTGCCAGCCAGCATTACGTTTATCATTCCTTAAATGGCTGTAGAATAGATAATTTGGCAGTCTACACACAAAGTAAGTTCAAACGACTCGAAACCTATTGGAGCTATGTTAGACACGATTCTCACTTGTGCTCGACAAAACATCCTACTCAATGGTTGGTCACCGTGGAGAAAGTGGGTCTGTAGCTGCAGAAGGTGTGATAAAGACGGCAACCCTCGTGCGTTGCTGCGTTATCGAATTAGAGTGACAAAAATAAGAGATTTATTTATCAAACTAGATGTGAAAAATATAAATATACATTTTACTCACCACTCATCATAATAGTTAAGTATGATATTCAATGAAAAACTGCAGTATAATAAATGATCACATTCAACAACTGTAATAGTCATCTTAATACCATTCATACTCAGACTCAATCGCTCTATTGCCGTATTCTTTAAGTTCAAAGATTTTATTTTTAAGGGCTTGCAGCCATTTGTACTTTACAAATACTAGTGCCAGTGCTGTAACGCTGTGTAATGTATATTGGCAAATTGAAGAGCCAATTAAAGATACAAATCTTTGAACTTAAAGGCATATTAATTAGAACAAACCGGCATCTAATTAACTCATCACACAACGCCATCCTTCACACGCCCAGAACGACGATCACCTCCAGTCCTCTACTCATTTATTCTTGTCACCAGCCGCTCCAACCTACACATCTGCTGCTAATCGAATCTCTGAGTCTCTGTTGACTTGTAAGGAAAAACCCGCCTTTGGTACTGATAGTTCATATTCACAAAGTTTTTCTCGTGTATGGGTTTAGTGCTTTATCATATTTCTGATTTATTGATATCATACATTTTAGTCTTACGTTAGCTTTATTTAATTTTGTGTTTACTGGTGTCTTGAACTGATTTACTGTATATTGTACAACTGAGTTCTTACGTCATAATATATGGTTTGGTTTTGTAGATATTTTTATGATGGAGATGGACTGTTCCGAAAGTGTCACGATGAAATAAACATGATATTTTGTCAAGTGCTTGCCACTCACTACTTCGAAACTGGGCACTAGAGGCTTGCAATATCCCTTCATTATTCTTGACAATTTTGTCTAGGGCTGTTTTGAAGTCCAGTACTGTTCTTGATTCCACAGCTTGGGCTGGTAGAGTAATGAAAATCTTGAAGACACGCTTCATATCCACCCTATCAGGGAAGAAAGAAAAAGCTCGAACACACACACACACACACACACACACACACACACACACACACACAGACAGACACACACACACACACACACAAGGCTATTACACTAGGGCTGCCCACCAACCTGGTCTCATGGCTCACTGATTTCTTGAGTGGACGTCGCCAGGCAGTGAGGTATCAGGGCTTGGTCTCCACATTCCAACACCTCACCTGCGGTGTTCCCCAGGGGACCAAGATGGGACCACTGTGCTTCCTCATCCTGATCAAAGACGCTCTATCGGACACTCCTCACAGGTGGAAGTACGTGGATGACTGCACTGTGGGGGTTTCAGTGGACAACACCGCACCAGACTACTCATCGCTACAAGGCACCCTGGACAGGCTACAGGCATGGACTACGGAGAACAAGGTCACCATCAACCACACCAAAACCGCAGTCATGCACATCAATACCGCCACCACTCCAGTGCAATCCCCAGCAGTCACAGTGGGTGCACATCCTCTCCAGCTGGTGCAGTCTGCCAAACTCTTGGGTGTAACTATAGACAACAAACTTGACTGGAAGGCCCATGTAAATAACACAGTCAAGGCAGCCTCGTACCGTCTCTACATGCTACGACGACTTAAGCCACTTGGGACACCCACGCCATCTACAACGCCTTTATTCTCCCCAAACTAACGTATACGTCACCAGCCTGGTCGTCTTCTCTCAACTCCACCCAACAACGTCAGCTAGAGAAGGTACAGAAAAGGGCCTGCAGAATCATGCTCAGCGCAGAATACTCAGGCTACACCAACGCTCTCTCCATCCTGGAAATGCCATCCCTCAGTGACCTCCACCACCAAGCACTGGAAAGGTTTGCAGTGAACTACTGCACCACCCTCGTCATCACCACCTCCTGCCACCTGCAGCCCCCCACCCAACTCACGCAGTCCGCCACTACAACAAAATTCAGCCCATAAGAGCCCTCAACGATAGATATAAGAACAGCACCATCCCATCTATTGTTAAAATAATAAACAACTCCTGATTTATGTACTGTACAGCCCTGTAAATGTATTCAATGCATATTATAACATTATGTCTAAATCAAATGTAAGTCTGTATATTTTCAGCCACCGGCTGCAACTCTATTAATAAACCGTTTATTATTATTACTTATTATTACACACATACACACACACACACGCACACACACACACACACACACACACACACACACACACACACACACACACACCTCATAACACCATCTGTGAGGGAATTACTACACCACGTGATGCCCCCCATAACACCATCTGTGAGGGAATTACTACACCACGTGATGCCCCTCAGAACACCATCTGTGAGGGAATTACTACACCACGTGATGCCCCTCATAACACCATCTGTGAGGGAGTTACTACACCACGTGTCTGCTGTTCAACACCGCAGCGCACATGATCTACGTGACCTCCACTGTAAACATTAATCTGTATGTTCACTGTATGTTCCTTTACCTTTCTCTAATGAAGGCTTTTGTTAAAACACCAATGCCGATGTATGTTATAAGTCATTTATGTCCAATGTATAGTTTCAGCCTTCGGGCTGCAGAACTTTTTCAATAAACCGTTAATTATTATTATTATTATTATTTGCACTGTTACGAACCCCGCCACCAATTGTCATGATCTACCTACCCAGCACTACGAACCACGCCATCTATTGTCCTGATCTACCTACCCAGCACCACGAGCAACGCCATCTAGGGACGAAACCCGAGTATGACTCGTCTTAGTTACCACTCCGGGGTTTCCCTTCTCCATATCCTGGTTGTTGCGTCACCTCCTCAAAGTCTTCTTTGTCAGCTCCAATTCGAGGAGAGTTGAGTTCACTCTGGGAAGTGACCACAGGATCACCTATCCTGGAAACCTACGGCGCAGTGGCTACCTACCGTCTTCTACAATACTCAGCCTTGCTCGTCAGCCATCACAGCTCCGTACTTAAGTATTTGTAATCTTATATTTCCTACCCCACGTCCACTTGCTTCAAATTATTGTGTGTTGTATAAATATGTATATACTGTTAATGTTTAGGTTAAGTATGGTTAAGGGTAAATTATAGGAAGCTGAATATTTTGTTAAGGAATTTATGGTACTTTATTATACACAACAAAAACTCGCATCCTTTGTCTACCCTTTTATAGTCCGATTGTCTTTGTTTTTTTGTTGTTGTTGCCTGTTGGGATCTGGGTAGACTTTTAACAATATTCCAAATCCCCAACTCGTAACAGCACACACACACACACACACACACAAATTTTCCTCACGTCAGGTAAGAAAGAAACCTTCTGCGGGCAGCCAGAAGGCGCCTCCACCCCTTAAACCCCCATGGGCTATATTCGTTAAGGAAATAGCGGGTGTGCTATGTTCTAAATAAACCATGGCGTATACTCTGCCAGAAACAACTACGTCGTCAGAGTTATATTGGTTGGTAGGATTTTTCCTTTCTTGCTTGTTTTCTTCTCGCACTGAAAACCTTACAAGAAAAGTTAAGTTCTCTGTTAACACCTTCCAACGCCAGACTGGGTGGGCGAGATTCCCTATATTACAAAAGAAGTTCGAAACAAGGCACCATCGCTGGTCTTATACTGGTGGAGTAAGTAGTAGGTGGTAGTAGTAAGCTAACAAACAGGGAGGTACTACCGCCTGGGAAGATATTAAACGCATAATGGTAGACCCTACTGCCTAATGGCATCACGAAAATTGTGACCAAGTCCCAGGTTGCTGATCTGATTTGCTGCCTCATTTATAAATAATTGCAGAGTTTCAATTGTTTCTCTTACTTTGACAACACAACATACATACTGTATATCATTTCTCACTTCTTTTTTTGTGGTCCATTATTGTTATTATTATTGTTATTGTTATTATTATTGTTATTATTATTATTATTATTATTATTATTATTATTATTATATTTTCGCCCCGCAGGCCCTGATTTTTTTTTTTATTGGGCACTCCCCTACATCCTTGTGTAAGGTGAAGAGCAGAAGCGTTTACAGCGCCCAACAGGGAAGCATACTAATTTCATGCTTGCCTTTATGTCTCATGAGTTAAGGGCGTAGAAGCCTGAAGAGTCAATGGTTTATGTCATCAAGTTATTGGAAGCTCCAACAACTTGTCCCTGAATACGAATTCGCAACTTCCGACTTACACCAGGTACCTACTGTACTGCTAGGTGAACAGGGACTAATGGGGGCTAGGAAGTAAGTCCAAATAACTTCCACCGGCCCGGGAATCGAACCCGTGACATCTCTCTTTGGAAGGCAAGAGCGGTACCACTCTACCACCAGCTCCCTCACAGGCCCTCATGTGGGTCATTGACCTGTGCCCGGGTGGGCTAATCCCGTAACAAAAATAAAAAAAAATTAATTTTCTTCACTGTCCGTATAAGTTAAGTTCTCAAGTGCCAAGTATTTTAGTGTACTCGAATTAATTTTCTGAATTATATTTATTCTTTAATTCGAATTAAACACAATTATTGTGATTCTTTTAACCGAATATATGGAAATTATTGTATTGTATCAGTTGTTTATATATAAACTTGGACAAATAGTCACAATTATACAGTATAACAGAAATGTTATCATAGTTTATTAAAGAGCCGAGGTGAAACATTGTACAAGATGGAGGGAAGGCAGTCAGGGCCAGCTTGGTCTGGCTAGAAGCAGGATACAGTAGATTGTCCCTGGCAGCTCTCATTCTCTAGTACGCTACAACAATAATAATCCCAACTTTGACCATTGTCCCAATTTTCCGTAAATATCCCAGACCTCTTCTTTCATAATTGAAACATAATTAAAGGCAGATGATACAAGAATAGAGAAAAAAAACATTTTGTTTCAGAGAATCCTGACCGACCGTGTCGCTACACACTAAGTCCGTGTGCACCCCCCCGCCCACTGCCTACCTTAGTTATTCCAACAACTTGTTTAAGTTGGCCAGTGAACCTCTTACTTCACTGTACGACATCACAATACAATATTAGTTTTCTTAACTATTTTAAAGTAATTTTAATTTAAAATTTTTTTTAGTTTATTGACCCTAGTCCCCATTCTTGTTCCTGTACATGTTTCTTAATCAGTAACTCAAAACCATTTTACCTGTAGCTATGAAATTTCACACGTCAATCAGGATCTTGAAATCCTTGAATTTTTGTTTTTAGTCGGTTTAGGTGCAGGTCAAACTATGCCATGTATAAATGACCAATTGTTTGTTTACTACACGAGGATGCAACATTGATCTTGCCACTTAGAATCTCTATATAGATGTTATTTCACGTCCGTGTTCATTTATGTGCATGTGTTTCACCATACTTACTGCTGAAGACTTAAGAATTATTTATTCAGATTGTCATGTTGTATCTATGAAGGTCTTCCCTTGCAACAGATGACAGAGATCAATCATATTCCCGGGAACTCAGGTCAAGATAACGTAAACAGGTATTCCTTGGCGAGCAGGACCGACTCTCAGATATTATGGGATGTGTGACTAAGTTTGCGCTCATTCTCTCCACTACCGTACAAAAGACGACATCACCTTCACCCCCCCCACCACACGCATATACTTCCCTCACCCTCCCCACCACACGCATATACTTCCCTCACCCTCCCCACCACACCCATACAGCCATACACTTCCCTCACCCTCCCCACCACACCCATACACTTCCCTCACCCTCCCCACCACACCCATACACTTCCCTCACCCTCCCCACCACACGCATACACTTCCCTCACCCTCCCATCACACTCATACACTTCCCTCACCCCCCACCACACGCATACACTTCCCTCACCCTCGACCACACGCACATCAGCTGATCAGAGTCTCGCCGAAATATTTGGGGGTGTAGATTCTGGCAGTGGACGAAATTTGTGTCGCGTAGTGCGTGGGTGCCAGAGTACTCCCTCAGTGTGTGGTGAACAGTGATAGGTACACCGCGTATGTGAAACGCAAGTTGTTCACAATGTGTGCAGTGCATGATGTGTGGTGCATGAAGTGCGAGCACTGCGGTTGAACATAAGGAGGTCACGGTTTAGTACATTTCAGTGGTAGAACGAGTTAGATTTGCACTGGGATACTTTTGTGAGGCAGAAGGTGAGGGAATCACAGTCTGGCTCATGGTGTGTGTTATGAATGGTGTACTTGCGTGGTGGAACGTGTGAGGTGTTGAGAGTTTGTTGTACAGTACTGTGTGTGCAGATAAACAGCGGTGAGGCTATCAATAGTAACTGGAGCACGTGTGGTGAAAAGTGTTTATTTTAACATATTGGTCTCGGTGCATGAAGTGTATAGTGTGTGGTTGTTTACTGTGGTGCTTGGTATTCCATAAGTAGCACACTATATGTAGTATTATGTATAGTGCTCGATATGTGGCGCACTGACTATGTAGTGCTCGATATGTGGTACACACTAATGTTTGATATGTGATGTACTGTGTGATGCATAGTATGTGTTGCACAGTGTGGAGTATGGTGTGTCATATATGGTGTATGGTGCGCAGCATGTGGTGCACTGTATGTTTGGACTGCCATATTTGATTTGCGGTGCAGTGTATAATTCACGTACCGTGGTTACACTGCATAGTGTGTAGTGCACGGCGTGATTTACAGTGTGTGGTATACTGTGTGTCATATGTGGTGAGTACATTAATTATTCAGTTATTGTTCACTCTGTAAATATATTTTTCACTGACATACAAACTCTACCTTGAGTTCTCCTCCATACTTCAGTGTCCACAAAATACCAACGGCAATAATAACTAATTATCATAATGAAAAATTAATGTGTTTATATCAGACCGCATTGTACACTTCCTACCAATTCTGATTGTTCAAAATATAACTTCACTTAATTGATCATTGTTAGAAAAAATATACAAAAGTTTATAATAATAATAATAATAATAATAATAATAATAATAAATCAGTATCACACGATCCTCACTGTAGAAAATTCCTTAACTTCTCTTCGTTTCATGTTACAGTGTAAAGGTGTATCATGGAGGAGTCACCTGGTGGGCCAAGAAGCAATAAGGTCAAGGTGGGGCAACAAGAACAGCAGAAGGATATAGACAAACAAGAACATGTAGGTGACCAGGAGGGAGAGCAGATGCCGCCGGTGACCAGCTTTGATGACCTCGTGGAAATGGCTGGAACTTGGGGACCATGGAACTTTCTTATCTTCTTCCTGAGTAGTTTAAGTTAGTACTGTTAAGTCTCCATCTAGCCTTACAGCAACTAAAGACCAACAAGATCGGGCAAACGTACAGTCAGCCAAGTGGAAGCTGCGATAAAATGTTTCGGTGCAGGGATGGGCTTCCACGTGTCTTCATACACCAAAAAATTTTGTCGCAGTTCCCACTTGACAGACTGTACACTCGGTAAAGGGGGTATCTTTCAGGGGCCGTCCGATAAACTTGGAAGTGAACAATCCTCTTGTCTCGCTAGGGTTGGTAGGCGTGATTGTGACACATATGCTACCTATTAGGGTAGGCCTAATTTAGTTATTTCATTCAGAATATAAAGTCAGTTTCGTTGCAATATGGTTGATGAATAACAGTATGCCTCATAGACCTTTATAAAAAACAAGAATTGTAAAGATAAAGATGCTGTTTTTACCGAGAGTACAATACGTCCGCTATAACTCCTGTAAACGGAATTGCCATCACTACCTCCTCCGTGAGATTGACTAGTGTTCACCTGCTTCTTCCCCATCTGTTATTTCTTTCTTAACTGTAATGTTTTTGGGTTTTTTCACTTTTTAATCTTGCATTTTTTTTACTCTTTTCTCCATTGTATTGGTGCTCTCTAACGCTAACGATCGATTCTCAAGATTTACCTACAATATGACTCACACTTCAAAGCTAAGACAATATATTACGATACATATTCTATACTCAGTGTGAGAATTCAATATATTGGTGTTGCTGATAATAGTGACAGGGAAAAGAGCCATTTTAGGTATGAGAAATAAAAGAATCGGCCTTAAGTCATTTATTTATTGACCTCAAAGGAATGTTTATTGTTATTACTGATGTATGTGGAGATACAAATGGCGTCCAATATACTCAGTCATAAATAGAGGAGAAACTCGGGATCTCGTAACATTGTGCATGAACAGTTTACAGTAATCAGTTCGTAGTTTGAAGCTATGTTAAAGTTTTTGACAATTATATTTGCAGTCTAACACAACTCATATACAAAACCGCCTTGACACAGGTGGCTTCTGCCTGGCGTTCACAGTTCTGTCGTATCAATTCCTGGGAGCGACTCCTGACCACTGGTGTCACATACAGCCCCTGGTGGAGGCTAACTGGACCCAACAACAGGTGCTTAGTTTCGCCATTCCCTACAGGTATATCTTAATGGTGTATCTCACACCTATTGCCTTTGGACTAGTGACACATATTACTATATCTTGTATCTGTTGTCTTGTACCAGTAACATATAATGTATTTCACACATGTTGTTTCTGTACTAATGACACATTCTGCTGTATCTCACACCTGTTGCCCTTGTACAGGTAACACATACTGCAGTACAGTACTTGTAGCTGTACTGAGATAAGCACCTGTACCTTTACCTACTCTGCTGCTCTTTAATGAATGCAAATTAACAAGTCCAGTAAACACCTATAATCAGGTTATAATAAACAATTTACGCACAGTAACGAGACAGGGAGGTACTCAGGCTGCCAGATGTACGACTACAACTACACAGTAGCGGCCACGCTCGGCTACGAGGCTTCCATCAACACCAGCTTCGAGGTCGTCTCCCGAGGGTCGTCTGATATCGTCGCCTGCCACGAGAGAGACTTTAACCATACCCAGTACAGGTCAACTGTTGTTACTAAGGTCAGCTCATACTCTACTTAGTGTCGATATTACTCACGGCTGACTAAGACGACCAGTGATTCCAGCATATAACTGCTATAACTATTTAAGTATGATGATAAGACTTATCAAAGCCAACATTGCATTCACTACATATTTTCCTCAAACATACTGCCTAAACTATTAGGCAGCACATTCATTAATCCATTCGTTTATGGTAATTGCAATTCTCTTTTGAAAATAAAACCAGACTATTACCTTTTATACCCTCACTATAAGTCTCTCCATCACGTGAAAAAAATGGAAATAATTTTAATATATTTTTTAAATTCTATCACAATTGTTTAGTAGTTTTTTCTCCTATATTTAGGTAACTTCAGTTTAAATTTATATATTTTTCTTTGTTTTCCAATTGTTTTGATAATGTTTATGAGGTGCAGTAACAACAACGGGTTGTTGTGTTCAGTGGGACTTGGTGTGTGAACGACGCGCCCTCTACTCCACCATCCAGGCAGCCACCCAACTGGGCTTACTCCTCAGCTCCTTCGTGTCTGGCTGTCTCATGGACCAGTGAGTGTCTCTTCTGACCCCTAGTGTGTGTGTGTGTGTGTGTGTGTATTATTGGTGATTCCTGTACCTGTGAGTATCTACTGACCCTTACTGTGTAACGTCAAGGATATGATTTGATTTGGTTCGTTTTCAAATGTTAAGTAACGGAACTTGGTCTAGGTCTGGCTTACTGTTGGCCGGCCTATAAACCTTAACCTCTTTTGTCTGGCCATGTCTGAGATCACTTCTCTTGCACAATGTTTTTTTTCAGCCATATGAGTTGCCAATGAATACCGTCCTGATTTTTTTCTTTTTTTTGGGGGGGGGGGTGGGTTATCGATCATAGTAGCCGAATATTCCAGGGAACCTGACTCCACACCTCACTCCACGGAAAATTGATGGATCTTCAAAATGAATTGTTTTACCATTGACCAAACAATTTTTTTTTCAAACGTCGAGTTACCAGAGATTTGTGTGTTAGACCAGGCCATAAAGTGAGTGTTCTACGAGTGTTCTTTGGCTCCTTGGTAACTTTAAGCTGCTCTAACCTGTAGGTGATCAGTGTTGGTCTCCTAGGGGGTAACCTTACAGTGATGAGGGTCAAGCTTGGTGGTAAATTATGTGAGGTTAATTTCTTGACTGTTCTTCTGGGTTGACGCACTCATCCCCCCACCCGCCACGAGAGTAGACTTGCAATCTCATACTGAGGTCCGGTCAAGGCCAACTTTCTGTGGATAAGTGACAAAAAGGGCTATAACCCACTCACTACCCCTTTACCCACACCCGCCTACACCCTACCATAAGCCCATTTTCTTTACACCCTTTCACCCAGAACTCTATCAAAACCTCACTTTCCTTACAGGCCAACACCTCTCTACCCTCACACCTAACCCCTACCATAACCCCACTTTTTTTACACCTCAACAACCCTCCACCTCACCCTATGTCACACTCTCTAGTATACCACCAAATTTAACCCGCAGGTGTGGTCGTCGTCCGGTGGTGCTGGGATGTCTGGTGGTCAACGTCGCCCTGGGGTTCCTGGGTCTTCTCTCACCCACCCCCTACGTCTTCATCGCCTTCAGGCTCGCCCTTTCCATCACTGGGTTTGCCGTCTACCTCGGCAACTTCCTCATTTGTGAGCACAGTAGACAGATGATAAACACCTTATGTTTTGCTCTGGTGATTATTATTTTGGTCTTCATTGTCTTTCTTCCTATTCTTTATTGCACGAAGTTTTCCATCAACTAGTATAATATTCACATACGTGTATAAACTCTTGATACTGATAGGTTCAGTTATTCATGCTCATCACCATCCCATGAGCATATTTATATCTGTTGTACTATTTTCCATCAGGCACTCCAAAGGTGAAGCTAAAGAAAAAACTTACTGATTTTGTGTTTATCTTACGATCAAGTAATGGGACCTCAAAATCAAAGTCAGTGAAAGTTGACGCTGATATAAAATAAAAAAGCACAATTCGACATCACCCCTTATTTGAAACAATAAACAGATGATTTTATATATATTTTTTATAAAGAAAAGCTTTAGCCAGACTGCTGAGTTTAACTTACAGTATAGTGATCGTCTAACACACTAGAGCCAGAGTCCCTCACCCACTGTAATGTGTAGTGGACATACGGACTACTACCAATGTATTTGTCTGATATTGTTATATATATATATATATATATATATATATATATATATATATATATATATATATATATATATATATATATATATATATATATATATATATATACTTCTCATGAGTAGTACAATTGATACTGTTTTAATTTACGCCGATTTTCACCCCAGGAGCTATTGTCAACCTTACAATTCCTCTCATAATACTCACTATAAAGAGGCATCCAGAAATAATACCTTGTCTTCTGATTTCACCATAGATTATTGTCTGTCCAAAAGTGCCAGAGTATATCATAACTTAGAATATAGTATTTTAGAAATTGCAGTCTTTCGTTCAGTGTACAGTGTGATAGTGTGATTTTATACATTCTAAAACCAGTGACATATATTGGTGTTTCAGTTCGACTGTGCGAGTTCAAAATAGCGATATTTCTAATAGGAACTGAGTTTTGCTGACAATAAAAAGAACCTCCTCCCTACTCCAGCCGTTCTAGTCAGCGAGCGTTCAACAATAATTATTTTTCAGATCCTAAAGACGGCAGCAGAAATGTGTGGCTAAGTTCAGATGTTATTGATCTAATTCGTACAGTTACCGTACACGACCGAATAATTGATTAAGAGTTAACACCACAGCTGCTTAACATTTCCTTTTTTCACTTGTTATCTTCTTTACAACTTCTTCTCAGGTGGAAAAATTTATTAGTATTGAATTTGTTTACCATTATGATCATTTACAGTGATGGAGGTCAGCTCATCTTCAACACGGTCAACGTTCGGTGGGTTGTTTCTGATGATGTGGGCTGCAGGATACTTTGTACTCCCTGGTGTCGCCTACCTGGTGAGGGATTGGCAGTGGCTCCAGGCGGCCCTCAACCTACCCAATGTAGTCATGCTCCTTGAATTCTGGTGAGAGATTTTACGTCTTATGAATGTTATGATACAAAAGTTCTCATCTTCTGGTTAAGTATGTCAGGTTTGTGTCAAATGTAACTCGGGTATGTAGTCTGAGGTAATATCAGGTGGGTACAGTGGCGGAACTATACCGTCATCCATGATAACTTTATGTAAGACTTTGTTGATGTTCACGCACCGGTGTTGTTGTTGTGGTACAGACAGCTGGCACGTAAACTCTGTCAACTGCCTGTTGTCTTACCTCACTGGTAACTGGCCTTCAGTAAAGATTGGTAGCAAAGACCGTTCTAATCTGTTGATATCTTCAGCAATTTGTCGCTTTTCATGACCACGCTTTATTGGTGAGGGGGATAACAGACGTACCGTTTAATTGTCTCTCTCTCTCTCTCTCTCGTTACATAATCTCACTGTGTTGTTTTCCCTCAGGCTGCTGCCAGAGTCACCCCGTTGGCTAATTCTTCAAAACCGCGATCTCGAAGCTGTAGAGGTCCTCACCCAGGCTGCTAAGGTCAACAAGAAAACTTTACCTCCTAGACACGCTCTCATGGATGCCATCAGCCGCATCAGGGACCAGGTGACTAGGATATAGACTTAGAAGAGGTAACCATTCAGTATAGGCTTTTATTGTAAAGCGATTTAAGATGCACGGAATAGCTAACGCGTTAGCATTCCCGGACTGTCATTAAAAAATACGACATTGTACCGCGTCTTGGGAATAACTGTTGTACAACACAGTCTTCAGAAAACAATAAAATTAGGAGAACTGTTATTTGGACACAATACGGAAAGAAATAGTGAAGAAAATATATAGAAAATTATGGAAAGAAAGACAAAAAAGGAAAAAAGTCAATCAGTCAATAATAAATAAGATTAAGACAAAAAAGGTCATTTCTCCAGGATTATGAAACCACACGTAGCATCCAGTGAACAGCTGTGCACTTCTCTGGCGGCTAGGTGTTCGCATATTTACACACGCATTATGGCGAATTTCAGGTTCGTTTAAGTCTTTTTTTTTTGCACTTACCAAACTGTAGTTAACTTTCTCATCCTTATTAAAAGTATCTTATGGGTAATGATATTAATGATATTCATATTTGAGTAATTATCAATGTTACACCATAGTCACCAACGGCTAATGAAATCTGACAGCGCCCACTTAAAAATGGGCCAAACCAAGACTGGCTTTATCTAGGCGCAATCCTTTTCAAATCTTTCACGCCATATGCTTTGTTTTAGGTCCTATCCAATATACTACCGTATATAGAATTATTTTTATTATTATATCACAGTTTTTTATTGCCTTACGTACCCCCAACTCTTCAATATTAATCAAAATATTCTCCATAAGCGGCCATGATTCGCATATTTTCAGTGGGAGAAACTCGCTGATTGATTGTTAGCTATTCAGGCGCCTCTGCCCTCTGCAAACGCCGCGAACGCCTGATCGAGGTGGTAGCGTCTGCGCAGACAGAATAGCTAACGCGTCCGTGCATCTATAACTCCTTACAATAACCTCCTCATGTCACTGCAGTTTCAGATTGTAACGAATAGATATATTCATTTACATGTGGTGACTACATTAAAAAAAGTGATGCCCCATAAGCGACAGATGTGGTGTCAGTGTCATCTTTGGAGTCATTTTCTGGGGAAACGTGACTCCATAGATAAAAATATTAGATTTAGTGCACATGTGGCGGAGATAATCTTCGTTACATTATTGGCGACGGTACAGAAACACACATAAACAGAGTCGTTCCACTACCTCGTAAACAAAACGAACAAACAAAACTGTCTCATTTTATCACCAACTTCCAGATGTGTCACAAGGATGAAGGTGAGGCGACAATGACCGTCACCATGAAGGTGCTGACGACGGTGAAGAAGTTGTTCTTCACCCTGACGGAGAAGGAGCTGAGGAGGAGGATGCTCATCCTGGTTGTATGTTGGTTCGTCGCGTCCATGGTGTACTATGGGTTGGCTCTCAGCGCTACCAACTTGAGGTGAGGAGGACCTGGCTTATGTCTAGAAGTCTTCGTTTATATTGATGGTGTTTTCTCGAGTGATACTAAAACGTTTATACAAAAAAAATAATTATAAGTTGCTTTACTTAATTTCATAAAGCAAACCATTAACAAATACTATAAATGTGTTATCTTGCCAAACTCTTCTTAATGTCCAGTAATGCCACAATGTCATCTTTCCACCATCTTGTCAACAAAAACCACATTGATCAGTATCTATTTATGTTTAATGCCCGTAGTATAGGCAAATTAACTCCACAACACTAAATTATCTAACCTTAGAAAGCTATAGAAGATAAACGTACAGTTGTCCGGGTATCCTCAGCGCGGACCCTTACCTGTACCTGCTCCTGGGCGGGCTTATGGAAGTCCCGTCCTACCTGATAGTGTGGGGGAGCCTCGTGTACCTTAGTCGTCGGAGCACTCTGGCTTCCCTCTATCTCTTGTGTGCGGTGTGTATCTGTATCAACGCAGTCGTCATGTTCTCATTCGTTAATGGTAAGTCTGTTTTCTGTCCTGTTTATCTGGTTGTTTGTCTGTGATGATGTTCAAGTGTATCCAGACCCCCACACAGCCCCCACCATTTACTGTGATGGTATTCAAGTGTAGTCAGACCCCTATAGTAAGTTTTGTCAGATCAAACTAAACCAGTAGTTGTAGGAATGTAAAGTGAGGAAGGTTTGGTAGTGTGGCCAGTTAGTTATTTAACTGTGTATTGTAACGTAGGGGAAATCTTCGAAACATCACTTCTAAGTACAGCTATTTATTAAATAACTCAATGGCATGGGCACATTAATAGATCAATATATTGACGTTACTAGACAATGAATGTCGGACACAAACATGAAATGGATACATTTCCCACCGTAAGAGGCCCAGCGGCTGGAGGATGTCTGCAGGTGCTGCTGAAAAGAGTGCTGGACTGTGTCTCCTGTGGGTTGACTCTGATACCTGGGGCTCGGTGCTGGGAAGGGAAATTTCCCTCCTGACCTCGACTAATGACGAGCGTTACTTCTGTCTTCTCCTGAGTTCTGTCTCTGGGAAAGATCTGTCGGCCTGTTATAATAATATTCCGAGCTAATATCTGGTGGAAAGATGGCAAGCCGGAGGATGCTGTCACTAATCTGTGTGTGTCTGGTCAGGTGACAGGTGTTCTGGCTGGAGGTTAGCTTCTTGAGTAACACGGTCATATCGCCGGGTTAAGCTAATCGCGTGGCAGTGAGAACCGTGACCTCTATTTGGGTCAGGTCTGGACAAATGTGTTTGCCCAGGTGCGTGGTCATGTCACCGGTCGGTAATGCTTCCAAACTATTACCACCAGTGTGTGTCTGGCCAGGTGTAGTTTCTTGAGTAACACGGTCATAAAGCCAGATTCACTCGGGTACTTTGTGGCCGTCAGCTCTCCTGGGTCAGGTCCTACTCTCACTGTAGGGGGTGTCAACTTGCGTGGGTGTACGCCTGCTCTTCTACTTACTGTTATATGTGCTGTTCTTCTCTGGGCTGTAAGCTATGGTCTGATAAACAATCATTACACCCCACACAGCCCCCACCATTCACTGTGATGGTGTTCAAGTGTATCCAGACCCCCACACAGTCCTCACCATTCACTGTGATGGTGTTCAAGTGTATCCAGACCCCTGCCCTCGATGTGTATTCTACTCTGTGTTTACAAGCCAGGAATATGTCTGATTACGGTCGTCCTTGTGTAGTCGTTGCCTCACTCGGGGACACCATCCTACTATCAGTAATATGAAACACAGGAATATGAAGTAGACACCAGTTGATTACTAACTTACCTTGATATTATTAATATTAATGCAATACATTTCAAGTGTTAGTTTATGAGAGATAATATGTCTCAGCTTAGTGTATGAACTGAGAGAAAGGTAAATTGACTTACACATGCAGAGGTTATGCGTAGATCGATTTAAAGTAAATCAGTGTGAGATTTGGTGCACCTTATTCTTCATGTCTTTACTGATAGGTTCATGATATTGTTACGCAACAGTCATTAACGCACTAACTACCATTTAACACAACTATAGGTAACTAATCCACTTCACTGTTATATTCCCTCAGAAACGCCAGTAGGTGCCAAGATCTTCCTGTCTCTCCTAGGGAAGATAGGTATCGCTGCAGCCTTCCATCTCTTGTATATTTACACGGCTGAGCTCTTCCCTACTGAGTGTCGCTCCGTCGCCCTCGGTGAGTGTAGCTTCATAGGGCGAATCGGTAGTATCGCGTCGCCTTACATCAATGACATTATGGTAAGCTTGTGTTTAATCTCTGTGTGTGTGTGTGTAAACATTTATCAGTGTTAAAGCGATAACACACGAATCTCACCTGCTGTATTCTGGGTTCAATGTGAGAAGGGCGATATCCAGAGTAACACTACCAATTATAGCAAGTTTACTCCAGTTTACTCCTGTACTAACACTGGACAATAAATTCATAACAACTACCCCGAATGTCTTGCGAGCTGATTAGTAGCCAAACGATGAAAAATAATCATCATTAAACCCTTTGTTTCTCCTCCGGCATCTCTAGACTAGAAGAGCTTACACACTACACAGCCTTTACACGGTCTTCTTGCCACTCCTCAGCCATCTCGTTACTTGCATCCAGCCCAGTCATTCCCCACCCACATTCATGACTCCTGCACATCCCTCTCCCAAGTCTTACGTGCCACAACATCTCCCTTGCCTTCACTCTTACTACTTCCTTCTATACACTCATAACAGAGTTTAGAAAAGGAAAGGGAGCACAAAGGCTATGTTTGCTTTAAGAATTTTGAGTGAAAAAGCTTTAGATGTCCAAAGAAATTTGTATAATTGTTATATTGGCTGTGTTAAAGCTTTTGACAAAAATAAAAACTTAGTGATATCTTGGAAAAACAGATAATAAGGAGGATATATTGACATTTAATTTTTTTTTTACTGATGACAGGAGGCTGAAGTGTTAGTAAATAATGAGCTTACTTGTTGGTTCAGATTTACAGTGGGAGTCAGACAAGGTGGTGTTCTTTCTCCAACATTGTATATTATCTATACGATATTTTGACTATATAGCTAGGGGTAAGGCGTTAATGGTAGAAATCTTAATGGGCAAAACTGAGATCAGAAGTACTAAGGGAAGGCAGTGAACAGGATATATGAATGAAATTATAAGTTAGGTCCCGGGAGATGCAAAATCTGGGAGGATTGGTATAAGAGGACTGTGGTCGCTAACCCACAAGTATGAAGAAAGCACTTTGACGACTGATTTATCCTGTAGTGCATTATTTTCGGTATTTTCAAATATTTGAGTTCTGGGATAAAGTGAAGACCAGCCCTCAACTTGTTTCACATGATGATTAAACACCCTCTCTCTGTCTCTCTCCAGGGGGACGTTTCGCCATGGGCTCCGTCAGCGTTGTTTGCTGGGGCGTCTACGGTGGCTGCCATCATCTCCCTCCTTCTCTCGGAGACCAAAGGTCGGGACCTTACCGAGACGCACATCATCAAGAACTCTGACACATCTCTTGCATCTCCAACTCCGCCGTCAGTGCTTCACAATACGAAGGAAAATGTCTTTCCTGCATAATACAGTTAAAACGTCTGGTTCTTTAAAAGTTGTGCTTTGCGAAGGTCTTACACCACTAGCGTAGCTAGGGGGGCAGTCCGCCCCGGGCGGCACTTTTGGGGGGCGGCACTTTTGGGTCTGCTCATCACCCATATCTGCAGCTACTGGAGACGTTAATCCATCCCTTTGTATCGGCGGCAAGTTAATCCTTGTCGTGTCTGACCTAACACCTGACCCACATCATCACGGCCACGTCATGAGCTACACCCTTGCTATGCGCCCCCCGCCACACACACAACCTGTAACCTGTTGAGGATTAAGGAAACAACTTCAAACAAGTACGCCAGTGAGCTCATGTGGTGTGGGTCAGGTGTTAGGTCAGACACGACGAGGATTAACTTGCCGCCGATACAAAGGGAAGGATTAACGTCTCCAGTAGCTGCAAAACCATGCAGTCTCGGGTCATATCAGTTCATGTACAGCCGACCAATCCACCAGTTACAAGCAATTCACTTCAGTTCTGCACAAGTCTCCATCGTGACAAGACGAGGGGAGGCTAGACGACTTTTAAGTTCTCTTGTGTTTTCGATCCAGTTATTTACTTCGTTGGAAGACATAATACTATAAGGTAAGAAATATTAAAGTATTGGTTAAAAAATATTGATGTGACTTTTGCTGCGACATTGATAAAGAGGAGTTCCTCGTTGAGAGAAAAAGACTTCAGCATTTTGTTGCTGTTGCTGCTATAACTATTAAAGACAGAATACAGACGTGGAAAGAAGGCCCCCTTGAACTTTTGCAGTTTATTCAAAAGTATAACCTTGGGAACTCGGTTCCAAATATAGTAATAATGCTGAGGATTTTCCTCACAATTGCTGTTAGTGTTGCTACCTGTGAGAGGAGTTTTTCGAAACTAAAACTGATCAAGAATTACTTAAGATCTACTATGAGCACCTTGCGGTTGAGAAATCTTGCCATACTGTCTATAGAGCGACAATTGACAGATGAAATAGTTTTGACAATGTCATTGAAGAATTTGCCAACAAAAAAAAAGTTACTCTGTAGAAAGTTGTAGTTTTCATTTCAGAAATAAAGATGGTCCTAATTTTTTACAATTTTTTACTTTTTCCCTATCCTATATGTCGTTTTTGCTTTTTGTTTAACTGTTACTTATAAAGTTTAAGTATGTTTGGTGTGAATTTAAAGCATACTATATTTGAGTATGTGAAAGTACAGTAATATTATAATGGTACACAAACTATTTAATATATATATATATATATATATATATATATATATATATGAGTGAGTCACTGTGCAATATGTATTTTTGTGGGGGCACGGGGGGAGAGGGGGCGGCAAACTCAAGGGGCGCCCCGGGCGGCACACACTCTAGCTGAGTGTCTTCCAAGTAATGTTCAGATTTGCTTGAGGAATTCAAGATCTATGAGGCGAAGGTTGGTGAATATCCAAAGTACAGTAAGTGAGGAAACCTGTGTTCCTTTTATTAAAGATGAAATTCTGAATGCTGTAAAGAAAAGGAAGTCTAGTGCTCCTGGCAGGGATGGTCTACCTTATGATGTTATAAATTATCTTATAAGTATGGAGGACAACCCAATTCTAGATCTCTTTAATTTGTCATATGAAAATGGAAGACTGCCAGTGAAATGGAAAATGGCACTCATTGTTCCTGTGCCTAAGGGTGATAATGGTTATAGACTCATATCCTTAACATCTTGTCTATCTAAGTGATGGAGTGAATGGTATTAAATAGATTATTGTATAAAATTGATGGTCTCTTGTCTAGTAATTTGTTTGGATTTTTAAAGGGTAAAAGCACTACAGATTGTGTGATTAAATGTCTTAGTAATGCTAATGTCAACTGTAGACTGTTTGTAGACCTTAAAAGTGCCTTTGATGAGGGAAATAAGGAAGTGATCTTAGAAAGTCTTGTATAAAAGGGAAATTATTGATGTGGATTACAGATTACTTAACTAACAGAAAAGTGAGTGTCTGGTTTCAAGGTCATGAATCGGAAGAAAAAAGTCTAGGGTTGGGTACCCCTCAAGGTGGCGTTCTTAGCCCTATGCTTTTTAATATTCTTATGGACAGAATAGCTAGTTACAAATTCCAGGGTGAGTCCCAAGTAATCATTTATGCTGATGACATTCTGATCCAATGTAAGAATGAGGAAGATATGTCTAGGGTCATTGATCAGCTGCAGCAAGGCCTTCGACAGAGTCCCCCACGAAAGACTAATTAGAAAGGTAGAAGCTCATGGCATCAAAGGTGACATCCTTAAATGGATTAGGGCGTGGTTACAGGACAGGAAACAGAGAGTGAGCATTAACGGCACTAAGTCCCATTGGAGCAACGTCACAAGTGGAGTTCCCCAAGGCTCAGTACTTGGACCATTATTATTTATTATATACATAAACGACATAGATATCGGCATAGACAGCAACATAAGTAAATTTGCTGATGACACTAAAATAGGACGTGTTATCAAATCTGACGAGGACTCCGCAAAACTACAGGAAGATCTAAACAAATTTTTCGATGGTCTGAAAAATGGCAGATGAAATTCAACGTCGACAAATGTAAAGTACTCAGTATAGGAGATGTAAACAGGGAAACCAGATACCAGATGAACAACGATGCCATAGAGAAATCCGACTGCGAGAGAGATTTAGGAGTAATGATAAGTAGGAACCTCAAGCCAAGTAAACAATGTGTTTTTGCTCGTAACAAGGCTAATAAAGTACTTGGGTTCATACAAAGGAGTGTTAGTTACAAGACTAGCGAGGTCATCCTAAAACTGTATCTTGCGCTTGTGAGACCACACCTGGATTACGCAGTTCAGTTCTGGTCACCGTATTACAGAATGGATATAGAATCCTTGGAAAGAATTCAGAGGAGAATGACAAGACTAATCCCGGGCATTAGGAACCTTGAGTATAGAGACAGGTTAAAGCATCTTAATTTGCACTCCCTTGAGAGACGTAGAGCGAGGGGCGACCTGATAGAGGTGTATAAGTGGAAGGCAGGGCTAAACAAAGGGGACATTACAAAGGTACTCAAACTATTCAACCAGGAGCGAACTCGTAACAATGGTTTTAAATTAGACAAATTTAGATTTAGGCGTGATATAGGTAAACACTGGTTTGGAAACAGAGTAGTAGATGAATGGAACAAGTTACCAAATATCATCATTAACTCGAATACGCTGAATTGCTTCAAACATAGGTTGGATGCTCATATGAGCAATAGGGGTTGGGTGTAAACGGGACTGCCCAGTACAGGCCAATAGGCTCGCTGCAGTTTCCTCCATTCTTATGTTCTTAAGTTTAACGGCGGGCATAGGGAACATTGGCAGCACTGCAGTCAGGTAGCGTGGTGAAGATGTCACTACTACGTCACACGTCACATTGCGCATGCGCAAACTTGAAAACTTTGTCCAGAGAGACCTGGTGGTAGGACCAGATGTTTTTATCCAAACAAATGACAAAGTCCAGAAGTGAAAAAAAAATGATGCCACTGTGCTGATAACTGGGTCTTACTATAGTTGTCTGCACAGACTGGGATTAGTAGACTCGTTGAATTCGTCAGAAATACGATTTTTAAGGAGCAGTCTCTTACAGCCTTTGTTGACACCTACGGCACGCATGTGTTAAACATTAATGATTTTAAGTTCCAAAAAATCATGGGTGAGGGAATTGATGCTTGTGTTCTGTTTAATAATGATGATGATGATGATAAATATTCATAACGATATTAACAGTAACAATACAACAGCTATATTAAAATCATTACTAATGATAAATATAAACAATACCAATACAGTGTTTATTAATAATAGTAACAATAATAAACGATAGTAGTTATAGTAAGAGTAATAACTGTACCTTCACCCGTCACCAAACAACACTACTGCTACTAACCTACTTCTTCTCTACTGGGGGGGAGGCGTCGTTCGTGCTGCTCGTGGTCTGTTACTACAACCCTATAATAATGAGGTAAGCTGTGTTATGCCACGGCACGTATTTCTACTCACACTACTCCCTTCCATCCACTTCTTGTCCTTCCACTGTACCTTTTTCACCCTTGTCACTTTGGAATTATGTATGTATGTATATACAGTCTCTTATATTCTCCGTTGCTACGCTAAACATCTCATTTCCCACTTTTGAACGAATACCCTTAATAAATGAAATAGTTCGCTCTTTAAAATATTAGTTGTAAGAAGCGCAATAATAACATTACAACAACTATAAATATTGACAAGTTTTAACAACTATAAATATTGACAAGTTTTTTGATAGTCAAATTGTTTGGTGCAAGTCGAACGTGACTTCTTTATTTTTGTGTTAAGAATGACAGTAATTTCTCACAAACAGCAAAATAATATAACTGAAAACATATTTGACCTCCACTTCAAGGTCTAATACCACGTAGCACTTGACTTTGTACCCACAGTGGAGATAGTCTACTAAACCCTAGTGTTTAGTATCGCCTCTGAGCTGAATAAAGTCGTCCGGGTTTAGTAAAATACAATATTAAAAGTGGCGTCCCTGAAATGAAAGAGTTAAGGAGTTAATTTCGATGTTCAAAGTTAACATGATGTTGCTGTGTGTGTGTGTCTGGATGATCGTCACACTAGATTCCGAGTGACAGGCTGGCAGCAATGTAGTAGTATTAGTGTATGTATTACTGGGTGGTTGAGGTGGTGCTTTAGCCGTCCACCTGGGTTGAGGGTAAACTCATTTAAAGTAACGCTAAATTTACCTCCCATTACTATTTTTGAAGCAAGAAAATAAGTATATGTATACCTGTTTATACGAATAAATATACACTATAATATGTATAGAAGCAAATAGAAACAAAAATTGAAATATATAAAAATAAAATAGTATTTACATAATTATCTCCAGAAAGTAGGGATTATTTATAAGAAATCGTTAACTAGTTTTGTGTTACACTATTGTTTATTAACTTACTCTGATTGAATTTTTTGTAGACGTATTATTTTTGAAATATTTTTAATATTAATGATCCATATTATTCTATGAATTTCTTATTACTAGAAATCACATTATCGCGGTAATGGTCAAGGAA